GGAACATGGACGAATTAAACATTTAAACAATTTGAAAAAAAAGAAAGTCCATTTTTTACATATAAAACCTTTCCTTTTTTTTCTTTTGTAAAAAGGGAGTCCTGAGAAATCAAATACTTTGATTATTGCGATAAATAAAAGGAACTTCAACTCTAGAGAAGTTCGATTTCTCCCAATCAAATGTATCTCAAGAACAGATAACTGGTATTCACCATGAAATCATGTTTATTTGAAAATCAATACCCAAATGATAGTTGGTTCCAATAAAATTCTCTTGATAAAAATAATTTTTTCTGTCAGTGTATGGATGCAAAAATTATCCTCCTGCACAGTAAAATTTTTCACACCGGTCGTGTATTTTGTTCTTGCACCCATCGCAAGATCATCGGGATGGATGGAACATGGACGAATTAAACATTTAAATAATTTGAAAAAAAAGAAAGTCCATTTTTGACATATAAAACCTTTCCTTTTTTTCTTTTGTAAAAAGGGAGTCCTAAGAAATCAAATACTTTGATTATTGCGATAAATAAAAGGAACTTCAACTCTAGAGAAGTTCGATTTCTCCCAATCAAATATATCTCAAGAACAGATAACTGGTATTCACCATGAAATCATGTTTATTTGAAAATCAATAACCAAATGATAGTTGGTTCCAATAAAATTCTCTTGATAAAAATAATTTTTTCTGTCAGTGTATGGATGCAAAAATTATCCTCCTGCACAGTAAAATTTTTCACACCGGTCGTGTATTTTGTTCTTGCACCCATCGCAAGATCATCGGGATGGATGGAACATGGACGAATTAAACATTTAAATAATTTGAAAAAAAAGAAAGTCCATTTTTGACATATAAAACCTTTCCTTTTTTTCTTTTGTAAAAAGGGAGTCCTAAGAAATCAAATACTTTGATTATTGCGATAAATAAAAGGAACTTCAACTCTAGAGAAGTTCGATTTCTCCCAATCAAATATATCTCAAGAACAGATAACTGGTATTCACCATGAAATCATGTTTATTTGAAAATCAATAACCAAATGATAGTTGGTGCCAATAAAATTCTCTTGATAAAAATAATTTTTTCTGTCAGTGTATGGATGCAAAAATTATCCTCCTGCACAGTAAAATTTTTCACACCGGTCGTGTATTTTGTTCTTGCACCCATTGCAAGGTCATCGGGATGGATGGAACATGGACGAATTAAACATTTAAATAATTTGAAAAAAAAAAAGTCCATTTTTGACATATAAAACCTTTCCTTTTTTTTCTTTTGTAAAAAAGGAATCCTAAGAAATCAATTCGTATTCCAAATTCTACTAGCTTTCTATTTCATACGAGAAATACTAGTGGGTTACAATCTAATCAGATCACAATTACATTATGATCCGATCGTGTTCTCAACTGTTTCGATCGTATCACTGGCGCGTGAAAAATCGTTGACCAAAAATTTTGATACCATGACCCAGATACACGCAAGCATCATTCAATTTATATTTTGCACAGAATGATTACTTTTTAAAACATTTGTTGTTCATAAATAAATTAATTGGAATTATTCAAACTTACGGGAACCGTATTTTTTTGGGCATGAAATCGATTTCTGGGAAAATTTCGATTTCTAAATATGAATAAACTTGGTACGATTTCGAATAAATGATTTTTATGGTGAAAAATTGATTGTTTATAAATTATTTACAGATAATGCTCGTGATTTTAAAAAATTATACTTTTTACACTATTTCATCAATCGTCCTCCAAAAGTAAACTTTCTTTTTTTTCCGATTTTTACAATTTTTTCAAACGGTTCAATGTCGAGATTCAATTTCAGACCGGCAAAGTTTAAATAATAAAATCATTGTAAAATATCCGGAACCTTAGGATCAAATGTGGCTCAAATGAAAGCTCTGATGTTCGATTACAAAAGTAGAAAAGCATTTCACTGGAGAAAAAACAGCCGAAGTAATTGGATATCCTTAAATTCTCTCCAAGCGAATTCGCCAATTCTGTCTATGAAAAATTGCCTCAAAATTTGAAAAGGTCTTTTCTATTTTTTATCGGAAAATATAGTCCAAAAGCAGAAAAATGAGCGCAAACGGAGCTCTTTAACTCGATTATTGGCGGAAATATTGAAGATTGCAAATTTTTTCTCCTAAAATTTTTTCGAATTTTTCAATTCTAATTACAAACTGCTAAGGATAACAACAACAAAATTTGAAGATTTGGTCGGAAATTTTCTCTTTTTTTCGAAAAAAAATGTTCTTGAAATATTATTTTTTGAAAAACTCAAAAAGCAAGCTCCAACCGATTATTTGAAACTTTCTCTCTTTTTGGCAGATTCGCTCATCTGTAGGATTTAATACAAATTCTATCTGCTTTTCATCAATTGTATTAACGAATTCCTCAGCTGGTTCCTTCAATAAAAATGTTCAATAGAAAGTACAAAAGACCTCAATACATTTTCATTTTCTTACGCAACAAAAATCAATTCAATTCGTTTTTTGCAATTTTTATTCTGTTGCGCTAGCTTTTACATAAATTCCTCCACTCGTATTCTCCAGGTTGTCTGATCGATTAAAAAATTTCCGTTAAAAAAAAACTCCTTGTACTCCATTTTTTCCACCATTATCTTCCATGCAGCCGAGAACATTGTTTCTACCAATGATTCCCCCGTAAATCATCGATGGGTGATAAATTCCCCTTGTTAATATACTGAGAAGAAAACTAATGACTTCTGCTCCAATTACATCCTCATCAATTACCCGCATTAGCATTAAGAATGGCCTATTCAAGCCCAGAGATTAAATTGAAAAAAAAAAAAAAACACATGAGTTCGATAAGTTTTTATCTCTCCAACAAGAGTTAAAATGCTCGTCGTGCCTGGAGTGGAAACATTCAGTCTTCAGCCAGACGTACTTTACATGACAAGATGGATAGTGCACTTTATATAAAAGGTTGAGCATACATTCTCGTTACCGAATGAATGGTACCACTGTTTTCCTTCGTGTCTCTATTTCGTAATTGTTTTAAATAATGGAGAAACAGCATTGAATTTAAACATCCGTGGAATAATCAATCGTGAAACAGTGACGTAACCGCGAGTTTTTCCAAGCATGTGCGGTTTAGCGTTAACCTTGACTCCTATGATTGGAACAACTGTCGTTCGAGGATTGTTTATTCTTGCTCGAATACAAAAGTAGTGGGATCCTTCGGATTTCTTTCTTCTTGGATATCTGCCAAAGCTTATGTGCGAATTGAGGACGAAAAATGGGGGGAAATTCGGGATCCTTTAGGCGGGGAAGTGGTGCAGGAAAACCAGTCGAAATGACTCTCATACTGAGAAAAAAAATTTTAATATATGAAACATATTCACTTGAAACAAGTAGTATTTTTCAATCACTTGAGGATATCCAAGTCCTCTGGCTATTTTTTCTCCAGCGAAATGCTTTTCTAATTTTGTAGTCGGACATCAGAGCTTTCATTTGAGCCTCTTTTGATCCTAAATTTCCGGACATTTCACAATGATTTTATTATTTAAACTTTGTGGGTCTAACTTTGAATCTTGAATTTGAGCAGTTTGAAAACATTTTAAAAATCTAGAAAAAAATTAGAAAGTTTGCCTTTGAAGGAAGATTGATGAAATAATTAAAAAATTGCAATTTTTGAAAGTTATGAGCATTTTCTATAAATTATTTATAAACAATCAATTTTCCGCCATAAAAATCATTTATTCAGAATTGTAATAAATTTATTCATATTCAGAACTTTATTAAGAGTCGATTGCATGCCCAGAAAAATAAGGTTTCTGAAGTGTAAACAGTTTTAATTATTTATTTGTGAACAATGAATGTTTAAAAAAAATAATATTTTTCGGCAGAATGTAATTTGAATTATGATGAATATTCATGGTTTTTTAAAACTTTTTCTCTCGCAATTTCATTGACAAATTTGATGATTGAAAATGGTTGAATCGATCAGTGATTTTTATCACTAAAATTTCGTGAGCGATTCCTAAAAATTAGAGATGGTTGTCTGAAAATTAGTGACAAAATTCTCAAAATTAGTGATAATTCAACTTAAAATTTACTTTCACGTGAAACTGCCGACAAAATCACTGAATTTCAGAATGTTGCACTCACCGAGTTTCACAATCGCAAATCCCTATTAATATTTTATTAATTGGGGATAAATTCCTAAAAATTACTAACAGTCTCTGGAAATCGATGACATATTCCTAAAAAATCAAAACTTTTTTCTCCTTTTGTTCGCAATCATCACAGAATCCTCTACTCCTTAAGAACAACTCCATAAAAATTAAAAACTCTTTAATTTCCATATTCATCCAACATGTTTTGATATCTTTCCAATAATGCCACTTGCAACCTTCGACCTCATCCGGTTTTCAAACAAGAAAATGTCATATTTTTTCTCCTGAACGCGCGAGTGGGCGGGGAAAGAATGACGCGAATGAGTCAAAAAAACGAGAGAAATACCGAGGCTGTTTAAATAAAATACACATCAGCGAGGATAAATCATTTTTTATTCGATACTTTGTGGTCTTTTATGTTCACCTGCAAATTTGGTAGGCAAACGTTACCTCGGGATTTTCCCGGTGACTACTCATGCCTTTAAAATTCACTCGCGAGTGAATGGCGAAGATTCTCAGGCAGTTTAATGGAATCTCGTTCAATGGTGCAATCAAATTCATTTTATACACCCGGGTTTCTATCGCCGGGGCATCGACACACTCGATTTCAATTAAAAGGCATTTGCGACGCGTCACTAAAAAACAACAGCTGTCAACTACGTAGGCCAAACCCAGTAAACGCACCAGCCGACGCGTCAGTTGCAAGTCAGTAGCGTGGAGTGAGTCAACGTTATATTATTCACGATACCAATGGCTTCCGCTGATACCTAGAGCTTCGGCAAGGGCAAATGCGATAGGATTTTATTCGGAAAAGTGTGATTTGGGGGATTTAACGAGGTTTCGTTGTTTATTCCAGAAACTATGCTGACGGACATGGATCAACTGCCGTCCATTCAGCTAGGGGACTTTGTCCTTCAGTTTGAACTCGGACCACCTAGTACTGAGATGCAGGAGGTCGCGAGGAAGGAACTCAGGGAGTCTCCGGATTTGCAGAGACAGGCTGTCGCTGAACTCCGAGAATTACTCAAAAGTTAGTACAACATTTTGTCTTCAGGGGGAAGCTTCTGTAATCGTTGGAAATTGTGCCGAATGTCACGATACATATGAAGTTTTTGGAAAATGTTCTATAGAAAACGTCAATAGAATACGATTTTCCTGTACAAGTTATTCTATTGAGATATTTTCTGTCAAATTTTCTGAGTTTTTTCCATTTTTCTTTTTATTTATCAAGAAAAGCCGGGGAAATTGTACAGAAAATATCTGAATAGAATAAGTTGTGTAGAAAAATCGAATTCTATTGACTTTTTATAAACGATTTTTTATTCAACATTTCAGTAAAAGCCAAAACTATTAGCAAGTTCAACAGAAGTCCGATAGAATTATCCAGCGAATTCGCAAGGTTTTTCTGTACAGAAAATTTCTGTACGATTTTTTCATGCATGAATGCTTCTATTCGGAAGTAAAAATATTACTTGCAATTAATTCCCCACACATATTCATGATTTTACGATATATTCCAGAGGAAACTGATCTCAAATGCCCCCTCGACAACGAATCCTGGTTGATTCGTTTCCTCAGGCCATGCAAGTACTATCCTGAGTCAGCTGCCAAACTAGTAAAAGAGTACTACGCATTCAAAGTGAAGCACTCGAATGTTTACGATGGCCTGAAGCCATCCAGGGAGAAGAACATATTCGAGCACAACATCCTCACTGTTCTCCCGAATCGTGATCAACACGGGCGTCGTATATTGATCATTGAGCTTGGTAAGAAGTGGAAGCATAATAAAGTGTCGTTGGATGAGGTCTTCAAGGGGGCGGTTTTGTACCTTGAGGCGGCCATGCTCGAGCCAATATCCCAGATTGCCGGGGCTGTTGTCATCTTCGATATGGATGGCCTCAGTTTACAGCAGACGTGGCAGTTTACTCCACCATTCGCTAAGAGAATTGTCGATTGGCTCCAAGATGCTGTTCCGTTGAGGATAAAGAATATTCATATTGTTAATCAGCCTTATATTTTTAATATGGTCTTCGCTTTGTTCAAGCCCTTCCTCAGGGCGAAATTGAAGGAAAGGGTGTGTTGAAAATTACTTTTTTATTTATTTTTACTTAAAAAATAATTAATTGAAAAATCTACTGCATTTTCTAGGAAATTCTATGAGAATTATATTGGGGTTTCGCCGTAAAATCCATCAGAAAAAGTTAATAATGTTTTTATTTTTCTGTAAAACTCATTCTATTGATAGATTTTCTGCGAAAATTTCCGAGCCTAAATTTTTGATTTTTTTGCATTCAATTTTTCTCCGTTTCTCATTCAAAATGAATAAAAAATAGAAGAGCATCCACTGGGAAATTCTATTACAATTAATTTGGGTTTTCCCCAAAAAGTCCGTCAGAAAAAAATGAATAATTTTTATATTTTTCTATAAATTTCATTCTGTTGATATATTTTAAATAAATTTCCTATTTTAATTCATTTCATTTGTATTTTTTTTCATTAAAAAATCAAGCTAAAAGAATTTAAAAATTTAATTCGAGAAATTTTCATAGAAATTAAATCAGTTGAGTATAAAAATCTATTGATTTTTTGTTTACCATATGTTCTATTGATCATTTTTATTCACAAACTTTCCAATTAAATCAACTGAAAACAAATAGAATTTTCAATAAAAACCATTTTAAATGAAACTGATAATTTAAGTTGATTTATCTTTCTGTGCAGATTGTTTTCCACGGCACTGATCGTAAGTCGCTGCACCAGTACATATCACCGAAATGCTTGCCAGAGTGCTACGGTGGTACTGTTTCAATTCCCAGAGTCAGTGGACCTCAATGGCTGGAGTTGTTAATTATGTGTGATAAAGAATATGATGGTGAGGATTAATTGAATGAGTCAGGGTTTCTGGAAAGATGAAATTACCAGGGAATTCAATGGGGCTTCACGATTCACTAAGCGGTGACCTCGACTTTAGTTGGAAGCATATTTGAAAGAGAGGGATTCACATGAAGCCGTCGAGAGGACTGTTTTGGAACGAATTTTATGGCTTATAAACAGGATTTTTCTCTGAATTTGTTGAATTGTTCCGCAGAGAGAAAAAAATGGGTTGAAAAATACTCCTGAGTTTTAGTAATCGTAGTGTATTCATCTTCTAGGAACTTTTATCACAATTGTAGTGAAAAAAATAATGAGTCTAGTGAAGTATTCAATATTTTGAGTGAACATTTCACAGAAATATTGTAATTTTCACTAGAGTTACTGAATTTTTAACTAGAGTTCGATGATAATTTATGAAAGATCAATGCACTATACAATTAGTCAATTTCAGGAGTGATTTTTAATAGATTTTTCTCCTCAACTATCTTCAATTCCCAAATATTTGATTACAAATTGGATAATTTGTGAAGAGAACTATTTTGAAAAGAATTTCATGGCCTATAACAGGATTTTTCTCTGAATTTGTTGAATTGTTCCACAGGGAGAAAAAATTGGGTTAAAAAGTACTCTTGAGTTTTAGTAATCGTAGTGTATTCATCTTCTGGGAATTTTTATTAAAATTGTAGTGAAAAAAGCAATGAGTTCAGTAAAGTAATCGATTTTTTGACTGAAAATTTGACAGAAATATTGTAATTTTCACTAGAGTTATCGAATTTTTAACTAGAGTTCAGATGAAAATTTATGAAAGATCAATGCACTATAGAATTAGTCAATTTCAGAAGTGATTTTCAATACATTTTTCTTCTCAACTATCTTCAATTCCCAAATATTTGATTACAAATTGGATAATTTGTGAAGAGAACTATTTTGAAAAGAATTTCATGGCCTTTAACAGGATTTTTCTCTGAATTTGTTGAATTGTTCCACAGGGAGAAAAAATTGGGTTAAAAAGTACTCTTGAGTTTTAGTAATCGTAGTGTATTCATCTTCTGGGAATTTTTATTAAAATTGTAGTGAAAAAAGCAATGAGTTCAGTAAAGTAATCGATTTTTTGACTGAAAATTTGACAGAAATATTGTAATTTTCACTAGAGTTATCGAATTTTTAACTAGAGTTCAGATGAAAATTTATGAAAGATCAATGCACTATAGAATTAGTCAATTTCAGAAGTGATTTTCAATACATTTTTCTCCTCAACTATCTTCAATTCCCAAATATTTGATTACAAATTGGATAATTTGTGAAGAGAACTATTTTGAAAAGAATTTCATGGCCTATAACAGGATTTTTCTCTGAATTTGTTGAATTGTTCCACAGGGAGAAAAAATTGGGTTAAAAAGTACTCTTGAGTTTTAATAATCGTAGTGTAGTCATCTTCTGGGAATTTTTATTAAAATTGTAGTGAAAAAAGCAATGAGTTCAGTAAAGTAATCGATTTTTTGACTGAAAATTTGACAGAAATATTGTAATTTTCACTAGAGTTATCGAATTTTTAACTAGAGTTCAGATGAAAATTTATGAAAGATCAATGCACTATAGAATTAGTCAATTTCAGAAGTGATTTTCAATACATTTTTCTCCTCAACTATCTTCATTTCCCAAATATTTGATTACAAATTGGATAATTTGTGAGAAGAACTATTTTGAAAGGAATCTTATGTCCTATAAAATGGATTTTCTCTGAAATTCTTGAACTGTTCCACATGGACAGATCAATCTGTTAAAAAGCCACTCCTGAGTTTTAGTAATCGTAGCATATTCATCTTCTAGGAAATTTTAATAGTTAACAAATGCACATTTGAGGAGCCTTGTTTAACTCGATTTACACTTTTCAAGTGAACGATATTCATTTGGTCATATTCAACTCTACCATTCTTTAATAATTACCGAATCTCGTTTGGAATAAATGAATCAGTCTATCCGTGTGACGCCATTAGCGACCTCAAAGCGTTTGAAATTGTCAACTTTCAGCAATCAATTATTAATTAACGAGCAATATTTCTAATGTTTAATCGACTAGTCGAAAAATTAATCATTCAGCGCTGAAACACGAGATTAAAGAATTGGAAAAAATCGTGTTCCCTATTACAGAATTCCTTCAACAAGAAATGTTACTCACCCACCCCTGAAAACCTAACACGAACCTGAAAAATAATTTCTTTCCTTCATTTTTTATGATTCCAGCAATCAACTCCTACGGATACAGTAAGAAATAGGGAGTCCCCCACAATTCGAAAAATCCCCTCAACGTGGAGAAATCAACGTTGCCATAAAATTTGCAGAGAGGACTTTGCAGCCACTGTGTGGACAACCCACCTCTCTATGCATAACTTCGAAAATCAATTGTTAATAACTAATGAATTCATTCCGGGACGAATCGATAAGCTTTAGTCCCCCTGTGTATTTAATAATAATGCGCTCGATTATGGATCAGATGTTCTCGTTTCGGTTCAACGAACGAGCGCTTTGTCGTCTTGCTCATTGGATTTAATTGCCTCTCCGTTTTGGATGCACGGTGCAATTTATGGGGCAAATTATGTTATTTCATTATCGATAATCAGTGTGAGTGGGGTCTCAGAAGAGACCGTGGTTATAAATTGTATGAGGGAGGATGGATTGTGAAGAGTGCGAGTGGGTGAGAATGATTTTGTGCTCTGAAATGCAATTTGCAATGTCAATGATGATTTTATCGTTGATTGTGGCACATGTGCACTTATTTCAATTAAATTGAATTGTGTTTTACTGAAATATGATATATTGTTTTATTCGTTTGTGAAGGTGAACATACTCACCTCATCATTAATAATGATGGGAGATAATTCAATAGGAATTTAGTACTGAAATGGTAAAATCTTTAATAATCTCAATAACGTGTTTTAGAGGAAATTTCAGAAAACATTTCATGACGTTTCCTCTTCAAATCACTCGTTATTAATCAATTCAAGGAAATGTAGCGGTTTTTAATCTACGAAGTGAAAATTGAATTTTCATGGTTTTACAATTCTCAAATAAAATAATTCGAATACAATTATTTAAAAATAAATTTAATTTTCTCACATAAACTTAATACAATCATTCCCTGCATCCAATCGTTAACGGCTATTTATATTTCTAGTAGTAATAGAAATTGAATAAAATATTGTTCACAGGAAGGGAGAGTGGGGCAAAATGAAACGGTCGAAAAATGACTGTTTGACTGTTTTGACTGTTTGACTGGAATTCAAGCGAAAAATTTGGTTTTATCAAAAATTTTTTTATCCACTTTTGTTTATCAACTTTTTTTATAATTGGAAGGAGTGATGAGAATAATTTTCCGTTCAGTAGAATGGAAAAATATTGAGAAGTTTTGACGGGAGAAGATTTTGTCAATGGACTAATTGAAAAGAAAGTGAAATAGTAAAATCTAAAATCCAAAGCAAGTCCCAGGGGGAGACCCAGAGCGGCAAAAAGGAAAATGTGATGCTGAATTTCAATCGAATGAAAAAAGAAAAGTGTAATCGCCCTAATGTAATCAATTGAATGATAATCCATTGAATTATGAGATTAATAAAAAATTATTATTCTCATCAGTACTCCCAATAATAAAAGAAGGTAATAAACAAAAGTTGATAAAAAATTTTTTTTCCTTGAGTTGCGTCAGATAGTTGTTTTCTGGCTGTTTTATTTTTCCCCACTCTTCCCAATTCATTGAAGAAATGTCCGAAAAAGTGGATTCAACAATGAAAAATCCGAAAAAATATGGCAAGATTTTCGGCAAAACTGAAATCGCTTAAAAATAAGTTGCTAACTTGAACGAAGTACTTGGGTATCCTTAAAAAATGCGGAATGTGATCAATATAATCCGTTCATTAATTTTTATTCTGATTTATTCTCAGAGTACACATGACTCCATATCGAAAATAAAAAATATCGATCATTCCTGTCGCAAGGAACCACAACAAAAAAAATAATAACACTCTGATAGCAAACACAACGTTTTACCCATATTCTTACAATAAACGAGATAACCGGAGAGCTTTATTTGACAGAAGTTCACTTTGACAAAAGTTGAATTCACTAGAATTTCAGATTCCCAAAGTTGATTCAACCAGGTTTTCTACCAAAGTTTTTAGACGTTCTTCAAAAATCTCCATGTAAAACTGGCTGTTCCGGTTCATTCGGTTTTAATACATAATTTACAGTGGATACGGAACAGGAAATAACGAAAATAGAGCTTTGAATGGCTATAAATCACCGTCCTTGGCCTGATTTGGACTCCAGCCAGATTGATTTCTTTCGCAGTATAAAAATAAGAAATTAAATAGAAATTTGAAGATCGACAGTTACAATTTTTTGGTAACTGTCAATTGAGAGCAGCCACTTGGGCCGCAATCCCTCGACCGTCATCAATTGTCCTATTTTTTCGTGGTGTAGCCAATGCGGTCTTCGTCTGTAATAATGAAATTAAATTAATTAAGGAAACGAGTTCGCGTTAACGGGATTAATTGAGTGTGCAAATGATTAATTAATTATCTCAGTAACGCTTGAGTCTAAAAGAGGAAACTGTCAGGGACCCCTTTCGCAGGTGAGAAAATTCCTTCCTAAAACGATGGTTCGACATTTATTCTTAAAATCGTTGAGGTCGGGGATAATAGAATAATTATCGAAGTGCTTTAATTAAATTAATCAACTTGCCATTCTCACTCGAACTTGAAATTCGACAACGAGTATTGAAAATGTCTCGTGGATTTTGTAATTACCTACAAACTCGTCCTCCCACAGAGTGAGATATTTGAACAGTGGTTCGCCGATAGGATCAGCTGGTATGTCAAGATCTCCGCCGTATCTGCGAGGCAATGCCTTCGCCTCTATGTGTGATAATAGAGCGGGTCTGTTGGTGCCGTGGAAGTGCACCCTCTTACGTAATTTTTCCTGCGAAAAGAGAAACGATCTTCACTGATTATTATATTGTTTTTCTGTTTAAATATTTTTATTCCATGTTTTTGTTTATTTCATTTATTTCATTTATTTCATTTATTTCATTCATTTCATTTATTTCATTTATTTCATTTATTTCATTTATTTCATTTATTTATTGTCAACAGGTGAAGAATGAACCCAACAGAGACAGAATTTTAGATGAGTTGTTTTAAAAAGATTGAAATTCTGTGGAAGATTCTAGAGGAATTGAACAATTCCTGAAGAATAGGAGAGTTCCCAGATGATTGTTAAATCACAGAGAAAAAATTTGGCAGTTTCCAGCACCAAGGTACTGAATTTAAAAAACGGGTTATTTAATTTCAGTGGAAAAAGCACTGAAAGTCAGACCAGAAAACGTGCTGATTTTCAGTGAATCCTTGAAACCGAAATCGTTAGGTTATTGAATTAAGAATCGTCGAGTTCTTAATATGAGAATTGTTGGGATCTCAATTTCAGGACTGAACTTGCCTTAAAATAAGAGAAAATATGGCTTTGAGTAAATTTGGTACTGCATTTCATTAAAAATCACTGAGAACTAAAATTTTGTCTGACTTTTAGAGGAAATTCTCTTAGAGTCTGCGAAAATTTCATTCACATCAACTGAATAAAAATGATTAGCTAATTTTTCACAGAGAAAAGAACTTTCTAGTTTCCAGCACGATAGCCCTGAATTTACGATGCCAGTTATTTAATTTCAGTAGAAAAATCATTAACGGTCAGACACAAAAATACTGATTTTCAGTGAGGAAAGTCCTTAACCGTTGTCTAGGACCGTTGGGTTCTTGAATTAAGAATTTTTAAATTCTTAAAGTAAGAATCATTGGGTTGTCAAATTAAAAATCGTTGATGGCATTCAATTCTGGAATTTATGTAAATTTAAGAAGCACAAGGTTGTTATTTCAAGAATCCCAAGGTTCTGAATTTTCAACTTGCCTTAAAATGACAGAAAATGTATTTTAATTTGAGCCAATTTCATTTTAAAAAATGACTGAGAACTGAAACTTGTTTTCTGATTTTTCAAGGGAATTCTCTTAGAATAATTCCACATTTCATTAACATCACTCAACTGAAAATGATTACTAAATTGTTCATGGAGAAAAAAAGTGTCTCGTTGCCACCACCAAACTGTTAAATTTAAGAAACTGGTTATTCAATTTCAGTAGAAAAATCCTTAGTAGTCAGACTCAAAAACTGATTTTCAGTGAAAAAATTCCTTAAATCCAGAGTCGTTAAATTAATGGGTTGAATTCGTAAATCAAGGACCATTGGGTTCTCAAATTAATTTCTTTACGATTTTTGCAACAAAAATTCTCCATTTGGAACCATCTTCATTCATATTCAGCATGAAATGTTTGAGATTCTTTAATATGCGATTTTTTTCCAGTAAACAAGACTTATTTAAGTGCATTTTTTCTTCAATCAGTGAATTTTTCGAATCCATTTGTCAACTCATTTACCCTCCCTCTCTCATCATTAATTTTAATTTGAATAATCCCGACTTACGTGCAAAAAGGGTTTGAATATCGCAAACACCATATTAAAAATATAAGGCTGATTTATAATATGAACGCCCTTGAGACGAACAGGCAAACATTTCTGGACCCACTCAAGCACTGCACTTGCAAAACTCGGGGTGAAGTACGTCACGTGACTCAGGGACAGTCCATCCATGTCAAGAATTACCTGAACTCCGCAGACCTAATTAAAAAAAAATAACTTATTCCATCTGTAGCAATGCTGTCCGATCAATCGTTTTTCTCGCACTTTTTCACGATAAAAAATCAATGACGAGGAATTATAATTTATAATGAGAAGATTTTCCAGATAAATATCTTGCTCCGTGTTTTTGCTTGACGAGTTCCATAAGAGTCGAGAAAAACAATGTTGCTATTTTTATTATGAATTATTAACTTCTCGATCCCAAAGGGGGAAGTTATTGGAATGACCCCGAAATTCGATTGTGGAAATTTCATGATTTCTGCACGTTTCATGATCTCTAGAAACTCTCGACACTTTTTAGAGACCGATTTGTAGGTGTGAATGTGTGTGTGTGTATGTGTGTGTGTGTGTGTAAGTGACTAAAATTTTGTGCCACGATTTCTCTCGATCAAAAGATGCTATTTAATTTCTTTTCCCGCAATCGATGAGTTTTCATGTAAGTTCATGAACTGATCAGATTCTGAACAACATCGCCTCAGCGGTCCTTTAGATTTTGCAATAAAACTTGTGAAAAAACGTTGAAAAATGACATTTTTTCACAAATTTGATGATTCCTCTCAGAGAAACGATGAGATTGATTTCTCGTCGTCATAATTGGTGCAACTTTATATGATTAAGATTGAAGTGAAAATCCAGCAAAATCGTCTTAGCGGTTTCGGAGTCATTCGAACAAGAATTTTTGAAATTTGAGACTTTCCAAAGATTTTTCAATATAGTTCAATTTTTTTCATTATTATTAGTTTTTTCATTCTATTTTTCTGTTTTTTTTTTCATTAAGAAAATCAAATTAAAAAATTTGGAAAATTTGAGAAGAGGGGATTGAATGGAAAATATCTCAATAGAATAAGTTGCACAGAAAAATCTAATTCTAATGCATGAAGACAAGGTAATTTTTCGGGAAGTTGCTGGTCTGATCAATAATGGGCCACATCTACTTCAACTCACCTGCAATGGGAGCGAGCGACCAACACCCCAGTCGAATGTTTTTGTCACACAATCGATGTATTTTCATGTTAACTTAGAACTGATCAGAATCTGAACAACATGGCCTCAGCGATTCTTTAGATTTTGCAATAAAACTTGTAAAAAAGCGTCGAAAGATGACATTTTTTTACATATTTGATGATTCCTCCCAGCGAAACGAGGATAGTAATTTCTTGTCATTATAATTGATGCAACTATATGTGTACGTCCACGTGAAAAGGGCCCACTTTGTCGCATCTAGTTTCCGAGATATTCACGTTTTTCTCTCCACATCTCCCATTTAAACCAATGTTAAATTGTTTTTTTGATCGTCTATACTGACGTCAGTTTTCATTCTATCGGGTTGATTTTGGGCTCAAAATGTGAGAAATCTGATCAAGATTATCGGAATATACATAACTCCAATACCGTCAAAGTGTTCCCTTTTCATGTGGACGCCCACATATGTTTAAGACTGGAGTGAAATTCCAGCAAAATCTTCTCAGCGACCTCGGAGTAATTCGAACAAGAATTTTTGAAATTTGAAACTTTCCAAAGATTTTTCAATATAGTTCAATTTTTTTCATTATTATTAGTTTTTTCATTCTATTTTTCTGTTTTTTTTCATTAAGAAAATCAAATAAAAAAATTTGGAAAATTTGAGAAGAGGAAATTGAATGGAAAATATCTCAATAGAATAAGTTGCACAGAAAAATCTAATTCTAATGCATGAAGACAAGGTAATTTTTCGGGAAGTTACTGGTCTGATCCATAATGGACCACATCTACTTCAACTCACCCGCAATGGGAGCGAGCAACCAACACCCCAGTCGAATGTTTTTGTCACACAATCGATGTATTTTCATGTTAACTTAGAACTGATCAGAATCTGAACAACATGGCCTCAGCGATTCTTTAGATTTTGCAATAAAACTTGTAAAAAAGCGTCAAAAGATGACATTTTTTTACATATTTGATGATTCCTCCCAGCGAAACGAGGATAGTAATTTCTTGTCATTATAATTGATGCAACTATATGTGTACGTCCACGTGAAAAGGGCCCACTTTGTCGCATCTAGTTTCCGAGATATTCACGTTTTTCTCTCCACATCTCCCATTTAAACCAATGTTAAATTGTTTTTTTGATCGTCTATACTGACGTCAGTTTTCATTCTATCGGGTTGATGTTGGGCTCAAAATGTGAGAAATCTGATCAAGATTATCGGAATATACATAACTCCAATACCGTCAAAGTGTTCCCTTTTCATGTGGACGCCCACATATGTTTAAGACTGGAGTGAAATTCCAGCAAAATCTTCTCAGCGACCTCGGAGTAATTCGAACAAGAATTTTTGAAATTTGAAACTTTCCAAAGATTTTTCAATATAGTTCAATTTTTTTCATTATTATTAGTTTTTTCATTCTATTTTTCTGTTTTTTTTCATTAAGAAAATCAAATAAAAAAATTTGGAAAATTTGAGAAGAGGAAATTGAATGGAAAATATCTCAATAGAATAAGTTGCACAGAAAAATCTAATTCTAATGCATGAAGACAAGGTAATTTTTCGGGAAGTTACTGGTCTGATCCATAATGGGCCACATCTACTTCAACCCATCCGCAATAGGAGCGAGCGACCAACAACGCAGCCAACTTTTTCATTTTCTGTTTTTCCTCTTTTTAAATTCATTTCTTTACCTGTGTCATTGGCTCGTTTAATGCTGCAGCCAGGAACATCATGACACCCCTGAAAATTTGCTCGAGGGCTATTTCTTTCGGCTTCCATCGCTTCCCACTCTCGATTAGGATAACTCTGCAGCCGTCTGCACGCACTGGCAATGGAGTCACTACACCAGATTCGAATATAGCTCGATCGCTACTTGGAATCAAGTTGTTGCAGATGCGGGGATGAGTGACTTTGTAACGATAGAATCGTTTCATCTGTTTCATGTTTGAGGAAAATTTTAGTTGATTTAATAGTGGTGGAGTGGTGGGAGCTCAAGAGGGAAGATCAATTTAGGACGAATGGATTTGTTTATTTTGCGAATATCTGCGCAACGGATTTGCATGTTCCACACTGATAGACCGATTCATTTATTCCAAACGCGATTCGTTAACTATTAAGGAATGGTAGAGTTGACTATGACCAAATGAATATTCGTTAATAGTTAACGAATGGTTCACTTGAAGAGTGAAAATCGAGTCCAAAAAGGCTCGAATGTGCATTTATTAACTATTAACGAATGAACATTTGGTGAGACCGAATAGACCCTCGTCCCCAACCAAATCCATTCGAACAATAATATAATAACTAAGCCTTTCTATCAGTGCATAAATATTTTCGCCCAACTTTATTTCGCGTAAGGGGAGACTACTAATATTCTCTTGTCAATTTCTAGAATCGTGAAATCTCCTGGTGAATAATTCAATAGCGAAGCGGTAAAACGGGTCAAGTCGATTTTGACTATTGGTCAGTTTTCAATAAATTTCTCGGTATCTAAGGCAAATAGCAAAATTTGTGGTAAAACCTTTTTTATAGTTCTTAATTTTCTCTACAAAAAAGGTTGTTATGAGAATTTCGCTATCTCCCTTAGATTCTGAGATATTCTCCGAAAACTCAGCTGAAAGTGAAGTCGACTTTAACCGTTTTACCGCATCGCTACTGAATTTTGTGCTAACACTGAGAGAAAGAAATTTCTCTAACGTTTGTCTCCGTGTATGAAATTTATCAAATTTGTCATTTCAATACTCTCGAACAACTACTGAGATATATCTTACAAGTTCAAAAGCTGGTTTAACATGCCACTTGACGGGTCTCAAGAACTTGCAGAAAAAATAATCGTCATCAGGTACGTTGAGGTCGGGCTCACCTGAAATCACAAGTGCCATTATCTTTATTCATCGGGAATAACGTCATATGGTCAATGTATTCCAGTAAAACAACATTCACTATTAATGATGGTCAATTCATTCATAGATATAGGAATATTCAGGCTTCACTGATGAGGGAAAAATACTCCTGAGGGGAAATGGGATCTTCTTCGCTTCATTCATTCAAAAGAATATTACTCCGCTCATTACTCTGAGTCTTCTTTTTACGCTTAATGGATTTTTTTCGGTTTTCGTCACGTTCAACGTGTTAATTCACTCCGTCTGCGGACGTGATTGTCTCCACATTGAGTAGCTCACATTGGTAGTCAGCATTGAGGGAATTAACATTTTTGTAGGCATGCCGACGCACGTGAGTGACAGTATTTCTAGGAAATCACTTGACTGCTGTAACGAAATTTTTTAATTGCTCTACAGTAATTTTAAATGTTTTCCATAAATTTTATTTAGCGGCTCAAGCGGAAGCTGCAGTGTTTCCTTGAGGATCCTAATGAATAAATAATTAATTATTCAATAATAAATACGCATTTTTGCCACAAAATCAAACCAGTATTTACGCGAAAACCTCTCGTTTATCGCTCGGGAGAAACTTTCCACGCAATTCTTTAATTCATAACTTTTGTAATGAATAACCAAATTTTCTCCCTAGGGGCTCATTCTATTTGTTTTGAGTTTGTTGAAAACTTTCTCCATACTCTTGAATAATATCAACAATAATTAAATTCTATTAACAACACAAAAACTGCAAATATCACAATCCAGAAAAACTCTATTTTCTCAATTTTCCCGTCTTCGTCAAATTATTCGGAACAATTTCAATCATTTTTCGAAGTAAATGAACAATAATGTTTTTCTCAATTGTGAGATCGTAACACTACCTCATCGAATTTATGATCAAGTTCTAGATCCAGAGACAATTGAATTTCTATTGTGTGGGAATTCCTCTCAATCACAAATTTTTTGACTCGAATTTTCTGTTTTCTTTCATTAAAAATTTCAAGCAGATAAATATGGAAATTTAAGCCGCTGAATTTTTATAGAAAAAATCTCAAAAAAATATAAATATATTGCATATTGTATATATGTGGTCTTTACTATAAATAATTTCTTTTGAACATTTTTATTTTGAATTTTTTTCTAATATAGAACTCGAAGAGAATTTCTTACTGAATACATTAGGTTTTTACATGAAATTTTTTTATGAGAATTTATGTTTGTTATGCAAATTTGATGAATAAAAATCGTAGAGTATTCCCAAGGTGAATTCTCCTCTCATTTTCGTATTTGACATGAATAACAAATGGAAACTGATAATTAAATAGTAAAAACCTGCGCAAGAAGTGACTTAGCAAAATTTGCATTCACTGAACTGTGTTTTCAAATTTGTCGGCAGGTGTTAAATTCAATGACAATTTAGTTTCTCTTGCATGAGAATTCTTCTCAATCACAAGTTTTTTGCTTTTTTCTTTTCATTAAAAATTTCAAGCAGAAAAACAAGAAAATTCAAGTCCAGGAATTTCTATAGAAACAATCTCAACAGAATAATTTGCCTCGAAAGATCAAGATCTATTGGTTTTTACTATAAATATTTGCTTTTGAACATTTCTATTTTTTACCGAATGCATTAGGTTTCTCCGTGAAATTTTTTTCGAGAATTCATGATTGTTATGCAAAATTGTTCAATAAAAATAACAGGGTATTCTCAAGGTGACTTCTTTCATTTTCGCATTTGACATGAATAACAAATGGAAACTGATGATTAAATAGCAAAAACCGGCGCAAAAAGGAACTTAGCAAAATTTGCATTAACTGAACTGTTTTTTCAAATTTGTCGGCAGGTGTTAAATTCAGTGACAATTTAATTTCTTTTGTATGAGAAATCTTCTCGTCACAAGTTTTTTCTTTTTTCCCATATTAAAAATTTCAAGTAGAAAAACACGAGAATTCACGCCCAAGAATTTCTATAGAAAGAATCTCAACAGAATCAGTTGTATAGAAAGATCAAGATATGTCGTTTTTTTACTATAAATATTTTCTTTTGAATATTTCTATTTTGAACAATTTCCTATTATAGACTTTAGGTTTTTCCCTGAATTTTTTTACGAGAATTTATGTTTGATATACAAAATTGTTGAATAAAAATAATAGAGTATCCTCAAGGTGAATTCTCCTCTCATTTTCTTATTTAACATGAAAAACAAATGGAAACCGATGATTAAATAGCAAAAAACTGCGCAAAAAGTGACTTGACAAAATTTGCATTCATTGAATTGCATGACAGAAACGGAAAAATTGGAACAGAAAAAAACTTAATTCCCCCGTCGGTTCGACTGCAAATGCAATGCTTTATATATTCTTCCGACATAATAAATTATCCAAGTTCACTAAGGAAAGTTACTCAATACGTAACAGAGTATGTCATTAACTATTTCATTTTTTCACTTTCTTCACTTTTACGATCGTAAAAAATGATTTTCTTCATCACAGTGTCATACTATCCAACTTAAGGATATCCAAGTACTTTAGCTATTTTTCTTCCAGTGAAATGCTTTTCCGGACACTTTGCAATTAATTTATTATTTAAACTTTGCAGTTCTGACTTTAAATCTCGATATTGAACCGTTAAAAAACATTTTAAAAATGCGAAAAAAATTAGATTTTCTTTTTTTGAGGAAGATTGATGAAATAATTTATAAACAACCAATTTTCCATCATAAAAATCATGTTCGGAATGATAACAAATTTATTCATATTCAGAATTTTACCAGAAATTGATTTAATTCATAAAAAAATAAGGTTTCCGAAAGTTTAAAAAATTTCAATTATTTATTTACAAACAAGGAATGTTGAAAAAAATAATAATTCTGTGCAAAATGTAATTTCAATGACGCTGAATGTTCATGATTTTGTTTCAAATTTTTCTCACCCAATTTAATTGACAAATTTAATGATTGAAAATGGTTAAATCTATAGTGTGGTCTGTACCAAACTGTAAACGATACTTGGATATCCTCAATTCATCGGTTACATGTCGTCATTGCTACCAGCATCATAACATTTCTAAAACCTTCACAATAGAGTCCACCAAGGCCTTCTAAAAAGCAGTCAAAAATTTCTCCAAAACGAAACACGAGATTGTGTACATTACTAATTAAAACGTGTGGCAATTAATTCTCATGGTTTTCTAACGTACAGAATAGTATTACAAAAGTCAACAAAGGTATTCAACACTTTTTATAAGGTCTGAATGAAAGTAAAAGTAATCTATCGCAAAATGTGACTACAAGGTCGTGCACTAGTGAAGGCAGCGATCACTCCACAAAACTGGTTCCTAACCGTTTTAAAAACCCGTCTCATCTCAATTTTATTATAAATATCTTCATTGAGAAAGAACAGCATGGCTGGTTACATCACAGGAGTAACGCATTGTATTGGCAGGTGTGTGCACGCGTCCAAACTCAGTCAGAATTAAATTAATAACGACGAAAACAAATAAAATTTTGAAAACGTGTCACTGTTTTAAAAACATCCTATTCCCGAAATAATTTAACGTTCGAGGAGATTATAAAAATTATTATTTCCCAATGCTCAATGTCACAATTTTATATTCTTGCATTCATCTGAAAAATAACTCACTTTAGGCGGAATTGTCATAGAAAATTTCAGTAAATGAGTAATTCTCAACAAAAAAGTCTCGACAATTAGATATTCCACAAGATATACTGTTAAAAAAACTTCACTGAATTTTCCAGAAAAAAATCCTGGATTCAATTTAAGGGGAAAAGTCTAAGGAATTTCAAGTTTCTCTGAAAATCCAAGTAAAGTTCCTTTTTTATTTTTAGGAAGACGCAAATTCCACAATTCACATGAATTTTCTAGTAAAAATAAATATGTACTGCCAGAAAATAATAATTCCCTTGAATTTTCTTGAAATTCCTTTAACTCTCTTGGAATTCCTGAAATTTTTAAAGAAATTCCCAGAGCATTCAGTGAAATCTAGAATTGAAGGTGAGATTTCTCTGAATTTTCCAAACTCTTCATTAATTTCCCGGGAATACTTGAAATGAAATTCACCCTTTCAACGAATTTCTCCCGGAAATTATGAATTTTCAACGAAAAAATTCCTTGAAATTTCAGTGGAAATGTTACTCATTCAAAATTTCCAAAACTTTTACCGAAGATTTCAGGGAAAAATTTCTAAAAGTGTACGAATAATCGACTCATCGTGCTCTGCTCTGAACGTTACGTTTCACGGTTTCACTATCCACCGACTCATTTCCTAGAATTACCCTCCAATTCAAATAAACAACAGTAAAATGACCACGAAATGATTACCTTTGAGCAGCTCCCTCATCTCCGCAAGTGCCTGTTCGACAACCTCCGGGGTTTCCCTCAACTCGTCCCTGGCTTTTGCGGACAACTCCGGTGTCAATTCCTGAGCCTCGATGTGAAAAGTCGCCGCGCCGATCTTCAGCGGCTGAACTTTCTTCGATTTCTCGAGGATCCTCTCGCGGAACCCCGAGGACACGATATTCTTCTTCGCATACATCTTCCCTGTCAATACTTCACCTAACAATTGAAAATCGGTATCGAATTCGATCGATGAAGAGTCAGAAAAATCGGTTGATCAATCGGAGGAAGATCGATCGCAAACTCAAACTCTCCGCGAATAAATAATGATTGACAAACTATTTGATTCGAACAACAACATTGAATGAAAAGAACAACAATAAATGCTTTATCGCGAGTACATCCGGGTGGATTTGCCGATGTCGACGACCGCTCGGTCGCGTCGCGAACTCTCGAAACCTCAGGCGCCTCCGCACAATAACAAAAACCTCAGTGGCAACCAGACAATCGATTGCCTCCAAAAATCACGAGCAATTAACTGAGAATCAAATAAACATGATCGTCTGTTAATAATCGGAAGAGATCGGTGTAGCAATCCTCGCGCGAGGGAACCACCGCGGAGCCGACTGACGAGTGGGAACGCGATGGCAGCGGGTACTGCCCGAGAACTGCAAGAGCGAATAACCGGTCGCGGGAAAGTCTCCTTCCCCACTTCCGTGGGAGTCTTCAAGTGTCCGTAACGGCTACGGTTTAAAGTAGTCGGAATAAACTCCAACATTTAAGCCTATCCATATAAAAACGCATTAAAAAATATATTTAAATCTTTGGATTCACTGGATATGAGTAAACACTGTTGGAATTTTTTGAAATTTTAGTCACAGCGTCATCTGAATTTTTAATGTTGAGAGGTTGAATTCAATTTCTAATGAAAACGATCACTAAATTTCTCGTTCTTCTTGAAAATTCAAGAAAATCGGGTGTTTCCTGTTGAACAATCATTGATTTTTTAATGAAAGCTCGAATTTTTAAACTCATCGGGAAAATTGAACATCACATGCAATTCAATTTTCAATAAATTGAGAATTCAGAGAAGTTGTTGCCAGAATTTTCAAAATTTTCAAGGTTTTTCAGTGCTGCATGGACCTGAAAATCGAGAATTTCTTGAATATTCAAGAAATTAATTGATTTGTCAATGAAGGAATATACAAAAATTTCATGTAACTTCGTCGTTGTAAAAAAACTTTAAGCCTTTTCACTTGAAATTTCAAGAGTAATTTTCTAACAGCAAACCAACTTATCGTCAGAAACCGGAAATTATATGGTTCTTCCCTCTCAAGAGTACAACCAAAATATAACCTACTTATACAAAAATCGGAGAAGAATTGGTACTTTCCTTTTTACAAAAGGTATATAGCCAGTAAGGAATACCAACAACAACAACAACTCCAGTTGATGGAAATTAAATTCAAAAAGCAAAAAAAAGGTATGTAGCATTGATAATTTTGTACATGAATTCTCACTTTGATGACTGAGAGAACAATTTATCCATCAAATTCTTCCTTCAATGAGTTTTTTAACCCTCGATCACTCGCTGAATGAGCGCGGCGCCGCCCAGTTTCATTTTTTTAAAAATATTTTAACGTGTTTCTCGACACTTAAAAATTCTGACAAAATTAGAGCTCGTAGTTCAATTCTTTTATTAAGCGTTGGCGTAATCCGTTTTTTTTCTCGGGAAATTTGTTTAGTTGAAAAGAGAAAGAAACGTCGAATGGACAGAAAAGTGACGCCACGCCACTCGGTGCGAGTGCATCTCTGTCGATCGCTCGTGCGCCAACGTTGCTACATTTACTGCCGCACTTGAAATGCGCGCATGGCGGTAAGCGCCAACATGGCAACAGCGTGTTCGGATTAGCGTGACGGATGAAGGCTGGCGGTCGAGCGCGACTCACACGGAAAATTTTATATTTTGAAAAATATATAAAAAATATCTCAAATTGGCGCAATTTACATAAAAAAATATATAAAATATATGATTTATATGATTTTTTTATATATTCTTTATAAATTTGAAAAATATATGGAATTGGCCACTGTTATATTTTTTTTTTATATATTTTTTGATGGGGGGAATGATCGAGGCTAAAATAATAATCGCTCCTTTGAGTAGGGTGTCTCGACACAACGATATATAAATTATTTATAACAAAAGTTTGACTCTGACGGTAATTTTCATATTGAGAAGTTCATGTTCTCATGAGACTGTGATATTTTGGCACTTCTATATTAATTATTATGAATAATACTACACTGTCGATCGAGAACAATCTCAACGAGTGTTTCTATTCATATTAACTCTAGAAGAATGCTCTTTAGAATTCCAGATTTTAATCTTCAAAGTTCAAGTTAGGTTTACACTCCTTCAAACCGTTCTCATCAGGTGCACTCGATGCTTTCAGCCGGTATAAAAACACCGTTTGTATAGATTCGATACTGAATTCAATCGAATGAAGGGAATATTAAACGGGGTCTAAGTGTCAAGGTACCATCACCAGTGTCAAACGATTCCATCTAATTACCGTGTTAATGATTTTTTCAAGGCTGTGAGGAGGATTGAATTTAATGCAGCATCGGGTTGAATTTATAGTGAAATTGTTTGACAACATTTCATGGAGGAAGAATATCTCTAACAAAATTTTAATCGTTTTAAAAATTCGATATTTTTTGTGCCGATTTCTACTGGATATTATGAAACTTTATCGTGCTTTTTTCGATAGATATTTTACAGAAAAAAATCAACAGATATTTATTTTTCTATACAACTTATTTCGTCTGCATTTTTTTCTACAAGAATTCTTGAGAATTAATTTTTCATTTTTTTTCTTTTCAATTTTACAATGAGAAACGAAAATCATGCAACAGAAAAAACTCATAAAAGTTTCTATCAAAAAATCTGAATAATGTGAATAATAAGAATAATTCAATGAATTCCAATAGAAGGGAAAGTTCTTTTTGCCACTGTCATTGAAGGATATTGAAATAATGTTCCATTTTTGCTCTTTTACTTTATTTCCTTCGCCTCTTCTCATATGTTTAATGCAACAACGATAATTCAACAAGAAATAGAGGATTCAATAAAAATTTCGCATACTTATTAACTAATAATTCTTTCTAGTCGTTTTTACGGCTTCTCGTGAGTTTTTGTGTCCTGCAGGTGTGAACTTTGGTCTCATGTTCTTCGAGATTTTCACTGTCACCGCGTTACTCTAGTTCTGTTCCAGTGACGAGGATGTTTTTTCATGGCTTGAGAGGTGGTCTTAGTCCTTGCGGTAGCCGTAAGTATTCCAGGCTGCAAAAGAAAATAATTTTTCAATGTTTTTATGGGTACAACGTTACAAGTGTTCTGGATTTTTCTACCGGAAAAATAAGTTTTTGTCTGGATTTCAGAAATTATTTTTACTCTCAGATTCTCTTAGATTGTCGACCACAATAGAGTCGTTACAGCGATATATTTTTTGATGATTATAAGTGGTAAAAAGCAGAAAGGGGAGTAAACAAGTGGAAAATTGGTTTCGTCACAACATCGTCGATATATTTTTGGTAATAAAATAGCAATTTGCTTCTGAATGGAATTTCTATGACGATGTATTTATAACTGAAATCAATGATTCATTGAATTCAACGTTGGGTCAATGTTGGCAGCCAATATTGCATCAACGCTGGCAGCCAACATTGCCCCAAAATTAAAATTATTCACCTTTCCCTGAATATTAATTTCAAAACATTTTTTTTCAACAACAGATGATGCAATCAATCTCACGATCGAACTCGGTCAGGATGGCATTGGGAAGAATATTTTAATTCGCAATGGAATTCATTTAAACAATTATTTGTTCTGTTATCGTCGAAAAACGATCGGTCACAAAATTAGTTATCCTGGCACAACAAATTGGAAATTTCAGATTTGACGAGTACAATTTTTTGCTTCAGAAGCAAAACAAAAATCATACGGATTATTCTCCAGATATTCGGAAAACTCGTGAGCTTGGAGAAAAATATTAAGTTATATTTTTATAAATCATGAAATTTTCTAGAAAAAGCACTCATGTTTTTCTGTGTAACATTTTCGGAAACATTCGCAAACTGTTCTAGTGGCACTTCCGGAGAGAGTGGTTCATAATAAAATGTAAGTACATCGTTTTCATAATTCATAAATTTCTATGCAAAAAAGGTGTTTTGATGACCTTACGTAAGCCTCTTTCTTCCGGATATATCCGCAAAATCATCTGCAAACCGGTTTTGTACTTGTCTCCGGCCACTATACTAGTGAAATCGTCGTGATATCCCCGTTATTCATCCGAATACCCCGAATTTCCCATCGTATCAAAACTCTCGTTGCACGTCAACCATACGTTCAGAGAAAAAAACAACGGGAGGTTTTTGCGCAAAAGGCCATGAAACAAGTTGGCTTATCATTCAAGTCAGTCTATTTCACATATATCCGAAATTAATTCACCGTGAGAGATTAATTCTCAACGTTAGTAGCTTGAATTGAATTCAACAGTTCGTGAAATTGTTCAACAGTAAAATATCTCGAAATGTAAGGCTGATGAATAATTATTGATGTTCATTATTTCGAGATATTTTACTTAGAGTTGAATATGAAAATATCAAAGTACTTTAATTTTCCTGTCTATTTAGTTCTCTTGAAATATTTTTTACAAGATTTCTTAAGCGTAAATTTCCTCAGTGTATCTGTTTATATTATAAAAATCCAATTAACTTCTGGTGATAACAATTTGGTACTCGAAATTAAGACTTCAAAATTAAGAGTCTCAAGAGTCAAAATAAGGGTCATGAGGGTTAAAATAAGGGTCATGAGAGTCAGTCTAAGGGTCTTGAGGGTCAGAATGAGGGTCACGAGGGTTATATTAAGGGTCATGAGGGTGAGAATATGAGTCACGAGGGTCAGATTAAAGGTCAAAAGGGTAGACTAAGGGTTCAAGCGTCAGATTAAGGTTCATATGGGTCATATTAAGGGTCACAAGATTGAGGGTCCGATCGAGGGTCCAAATAAGGGCAGCAAGGGTTAGAATAAAGATCATGGGGGTCAGTCAAAGGGTCACAACTTACATGAGGGTCAGAACAAGGGTCAAAACGGTCGCAATAGGGGTCACGAAGGTTAGATTAAGAGTCATGAGGGTCAGAATATGAGTCATGAGGGTCCGATTAAGGGTCATAAGGTTAGAATAAGGGTCCAAATGGGGGTCACATGGGTCAGATTAAGAGTTCAAACGTCAGATTAAGGCGCATATGGGTCAGATTAAGGGTCACAAGATTGAGGGTCCGATCGAGGGTCCAAATAAGGGTAACAAGGGTTAAAATAAGGATCATGGGAATCATGAGGATGATGAGCGGTGCAAGCAGCCGGCGTAGTCCCTTAGTTTTCCTATACTTTCTTTACTAAACTTTTAGTTTCTCATCACAAAGTGCACGAAAAAAACAGAAAAGTTTGTGATTAAAAATTGCAACAAAATAAATTGCATAAAAAAACTAAACATCTATTGTCATTCTCTCATCAAGTATTTTCAATAGAAATCGACAAGAAAAAAAAAGATTTCTAATAGAATTCCAAAAGCATTGAGGTTTTGTTGCCATTGTTTTATGCTTTGTTATTAAAACTAGATGAAAAATATTGAACTCAATTTTTATTTTAAGAAATAAAAAATTAATAAGTTATGAACAATTGAAAACGTGTGCATTATATATCGTATTCCAAACCCTCGTAATAAAAAAAATCTTAAAAGCAAAGTCAGTCGTTCCTTTTACTTCAATGAATCAATACCTTAAAAATACCTGACCGTTGTGCTTTCCTCATTAACGTGATGATTAACATTTTATTGTCACAAAGTGCGCGTGACTGACGCAAAGTGCTAAAGTATGAGTCTTCCCAATGAATCAATTTGAAACATTAAATAGCTGTTCGCCTACAATACAATATTGCGCGGATAACTCGCGCAATAACTCCCAATATCCCGTATTATCATAATTTCCCATTATCGGACTTCTCCATTAGTTCATTGTATTCAATTCATTACAATCTCATGAGAAGCCAAGTCATTGTCTTAAAATTTCGTGAAAATGAGTTGCGGGGTCGGCGAAATTTCCATTAATTAGGAATTTTCCTTTACAGAGCTAAGTAATTAGGAAAGTTGTTGTTGTGGCAAATTGAGGTGGGGGTGGTACCTTTGATACTGTCCTCACAGCCTTGGAAGGCTGGGAACCAATCGGCGGCGGTGTAATCGATCTCGGCAAGCTCGCCACCGTAGTTCTTGGGGAGATGGCTTGGGGCCATGTGGGTGTGCAGGGACTTCATTTTTGTACCGTGGAAGTACATTCTTTTTCGCAACTTTTCTCTTACGAAGGGCTTGAATATTCTCCAGACGAGGTCGAAGAGGAGCGGCTGCTTCACTATGTGGACCTGTTAGGATAATGAGAGTTTTAAGAAGGAATTATTGAGAACATTCAGTGAAATAATTACGTTTTCTGATTGTTACTTTTACTAATTATTTTATTTAATATCTCGGGAACTATTAGGTTTGGAGAAAAAAATGAATTGATTTTTTGTGATACCCGACTCAAAAGTGCACTTTTCAAAACGGTTTAGTGTGCGCAAAGGGTTTGTTTTCCGCACGGCGTGCGTAAAGTGAACTTTACGCACTCGTGCCCAAAAACAGTCACATTATCCCCACTACCGTTCTGAACAGTGACCTCAGCAGGTACCATCAAAATATGATTTTACACGTGAGTGTGAAAAAGTGGAACTTTACGTACTAGTAATATAATATACTATTTTAACACTACTGCTACGTTTACTTCGTGCCGAACGAGGAAGTGCCTTTTCATTTATTTGTCAACGAAAAGTAAACGAAAAATCTTTTCGTTTACTTGTAACCGAAAAAGGCTTTTCGACAATTAAACGAAAAAGCGAAAACAAAGAGCCTTTTTCGTTTATTACTTGTAAAAAAAAGTCAAAATTGTGCAGAAAAAAAAGTTACCTCGGCAGGTACCATCAAAAATAGGATGTTACACGTGAGTGTGAAAAAGTGGAACTTTACGTACTAGTAACATAATATACTATTTTAACACTGCTGCTACGTTCACCTCGTGCCGAAAAGTGCCTTTGCATTTATTCGTAAACGAAAAGTAACCGAAAAATCTTTCCGTTTACTTGTAAACGGAAAGGGCTTTTCGACAAGTAAACGAAAAAGCGAAAACGAAAAGCCTTTTTCGTTTACTTGTAAAAAAAAAGTCAAAATTGTACAGAAAAAAAAGTTATCCAAACATTTACCTCTTTCAATCTAAGTGGCATAGCATCCTGAATAAATGATAATAGCCTCATGCTAAATGATGGCGTAAGACCCATCACCTGTTTCATGGAAAGTCCATCAAAGTCCATGATGACTACTACACCTCTCACCTGAAAGCAACAGCGACATTCAAGTATTCCGTAATACTTAGCATAATTAATCGCACAATGGGGTTTATCTCTCTCATCTTATCAAAACATCTTCACGGAGTAAAATAAACGTCCTCGTGGTCAACAGTAATCTGTACTATCAACTCCGGCGACTATCCCGAGTCGGTTCGAGTGCCTTTGCACTTCAAGTGCTTTCTCAGGTCCCCGTGGGTGAACGAATCAGAGAAAACATTGACATTCAAGAATCAATATTAAAAATACATTTGGGAACTTGTAGCGGATGTTATCTGATACAAGGTAATTCTGACAGGCGAACTTTGAACCGATCTATATCTCACATCCACCCACTGTATCTGGTATCGTGTCTTATCACAAATGCGGTACAAAGTACGATTCGAGTGTTGTCGAATGTCACACGCAGATTATCGGTTAGTCAGTTGAAGTATTTTCGAAACCGTTTCGAGATTTCTATTTTTTTAATTATTGCAGCAAAACCATTTCCATAAACGATTATTTTGTAATAATGTCAGCAACTGAAGATGGCATCAATTTGTGAAGGCATGCCGATTTTTCCATGATTTTTCTGACACTAAATATATTTTGAATGGAATATCAAAAAATTTTCCTTTATAAATTATAAATTTAAAAAAAGTTTCAACGTTTTTATAAATTCACTAGTTGCAAAAAATGTTTCCAAATCAATTAGCGAATTTTTTTTGGAGGTACAAACTTTCAAAAAGTGCCATTTCTACTGAAATTTCAGGAAATCTCGTCCTTGAAAAAACACGAGAGGGAAAACAATTTGAATAAAATATTATGATGTTACTATGTGGTTAATAACTGGAGATAAACAAATTTCTGGAAATCCATGCGGATATTCCAATGATTTTTGTGGAACTAGTAGGTTTTTAATGGAATATCAGATTTTTTTTTTATAAATTATACAATTAAGAAAAATATCTGATGTTTTTCAAAACTTACTACTTCCTAAAAGGTTTGCAATATGATGATTGAATTTTTTTTGGAGGAATTGCAAAACAATAGTGCAAAATATTTTCCGGCGTGTTCAAATTCAGGAAAGTATTAACAAGTGCTATTCCTACTGAAATTTCAACAAATCTCGTCATAGAAAAATCGCGTATTGATTTTGTGACCATTTCATGGACAAAATTAATGACAACTATCAATTCGAGTATAGTTAGGCAGCAGAAAGCAGGAAAAATTGGAAAAATTCAGTTGGAAATATCCTTGAACTTTCAATTAATTGAAAATCGAGCTCATTTCAGCACTGAATATTCATGGTTGATCAAAAATTCAAGGATGTCGTGAAATTTTCATCTTATTTCTCCTTGAAACCTTTTAAAATCCCCAAATCCTGAGATAAGTAATAAAAAAAATTGCACCGACAATAATAAATCTTCGAGCCTAGTCAGCCCGGGAATTCGTAACAAGTGACATTTCCACAGAAATTTCAAGAAATCTCGTCATCGGGAAATCCCACGTTCCATTGATTTTTCCATAATTTCATTTAAAAAAACCGGGAAACTGTAGATTTTCGTTCAATTGTACGGCAAAAATTAAAACCATTCAGTTCGAAATATTCTTTAATTCTTAATCATTTGCAAATCGCGTCTATTTTGCCACAGAATATTCATGTTCAATAAAACATTCAACCCGTTGCGATATTTTCATCCCATTTCTTCTCGAAACCTTTTGAATTTACTCAAATTTTACCTGAAATTTGAAACTCCATAAACTTTCCCCTGTAAATCAAATCCAGGGCCACTCTTCCGATAAATAAGACTAGACTATACATGAAATTTCAATTATTTCGACATTTTCGAAAAACACTAAATGGTCATTACCTTTCTTTCTTGTAGGTCTTTTGACACTGTTTCAACTCACTTGTTCCTAAACACGATATTTCCAAATTAATTTGAACAAGATTTCTCAACAATTCGTTACATCATTAGTAGATTTTAAGTGAAATGTTGAGAAACCCTTTACCTATAGTTTACAAAATTCTTTTCAAAAGAATATCTTCCAACGAATTCTCCTAGACCTCTTCCTACCGAAAATACTTCCGAAATAGTCTGCACACAAGTACTCTCATTCCCCATAATCCGTGAATTACCATAACAAACACGGAAAAAAAATATTTTCCACGTCACTTTAAATTTGTTGTGTACCATAACACTCGCCAAAACCATCAAATAGAGAATATTCTGCAATTCTTAATGAAACGGAAAAAAAGCTTCGTTTGGCCCTGAACATTCATGTTTAATAAATAATTCAAATTCATTGCGAAATATTCATTCCATTTCTTCTTGAAACCTGTTGAATTCACTTAAATTTGACCAGAAATTTGAAATTTCACCAAATTTTCCCTCAAAATCCAACTCAGGGCTTTCTGAGAAACAATACTAGATTATTCATGAAATCTTAATTATTTCGACAGTCTAGATAAAAAACTAATTGACCTTTCTTACTTGTAGGTCTTTTGACACTTTTTCAACTCTCTTGTTCCTAAACAGGATATGTCCACACTAATTTGAACAAGATTTCTCAACAAATCGTTACACCATTACGCAGATATCCTCGACACTAGTAGATTTTAAGTGAAACGTTGAGAAACCCTTTACCTATAGTTTACAAAATTCTTTTCAAAAGAATATCTTCCAACGAATTCTCCTAGACCTCTTCCTACCGAAAATACTTCCGAAATAGTCTGCACACAAGTACTCTCATTCCCCATAATCCGTGAATTACCATAACAAACACGGAAAAAAAATATTTTCCACGTCACTTTAAATTTGTTGTGTACCATAACACTCGCCAAAACCATCAAATAGAGAATATTCTGCAATTCTTAATGAAACGGAAAAAAAGCTTCGTTTGGCCCTGAACATTCATGTTTAATAAATAATTCAAATTCATTGTGAAATTTTCATTCCATTTCTTCTCGAAACCTGTTGAATTCACTTAAATTTGACCTGAAATTTGAAATTTCACAAAATTTTCCCTCAAAATCCAACTCAGGGCTTTCTGAGAAACAATACTAGATTATTCGTGAAATCTTAATTATTTCGACAGTCTAGATAAAAAACTAATTGACCTTTCTTACTTGTAGGTCTTTTGACACTTTTTCAACTCTCTTGTTCCTAAACAGGATATGTCCACACTAATCTGCACAAGATTTCTCAACAAATCGTTACACCATTACACATATATCCTCGATACTAATAGAGTTTAAGTGAAATATTGAGAAATCCTTTACCTATAGTTTACAAAATTCTCTTCATGAGAATGTCTTCAGTCGAATTCTCCTAGATCTCTTATTCCCGGAAATACTTCCAAAATAATTTGCAAGTCCTCTCATTCCTCATAATCATTGAATTAAAATAGCAAACAATGACTGAAACCATTGTTTATTTAACTCGAAATTTTTTGTGCACCATAGTGTCTGCAAATTCGCCAAAATATGCAAATCCATCTCACAAACTCATCGACTTGTTTATGCAAATAACATTAGCCGTTCACCTGTGTCTCGGGCTCCAGAATAGCCGCCTCATGAATGAGATAAAAAATTCGGAACATGGAGTCGGCATTGACCTTGGACGGATCCCATGTCTTTCCAGCATTCACTATGAGCACACGTCGACCTTTGTGATCTCTGCCCTTCAGCACATTTACGACATTATTATCAAATATCGCACTCTTCTCGTCCATCGGTAACAGGTTGTCCAATAGTGCGGCATTCTTGACCTTGAAGTCAGATGTACGCTGCATAAGAGCAAAAGCACTCTCTGGATAGTATTTGCACGGACGGAGAAATATTGTTAGGAACTCATCGTCTGTTCTGAAGTACATGGTTTTGTCCTCTAAGCAAATAAAAATAAAAACACAATTAAAATGAATTTGGTATCAGAATTTGGTATCAGAATAAATGAGAAAATTATGAATTAACCGAAATTACGCAAGTCATTGATAAAATGAACAATTATGACAATGACTTTAATAAAAAATATTGAGAAGTAATTTCTCAAACAAATGCAAAATCAAATACGAAAATTTTTATAGATAAATCCTTTTTTTTTATCGCGGTGGCTTGACGCAGTGGGTAAGTTTGTTGCCTCACATGCGAAAGGTTCCGAGTTCAAATCCCGGCCGGGTAAAATGGTGCGATCTAACCATTTAAAGTCTTGATCATCATCGCAGTATACCGTAACCGGGTCAAAGGGATGTAAAATAAAGATTAAAAAAAACAATTTTCGTAACGTCGACACAATTTTTTGTGTTGAAATTATTTTGATAGAAATTGTTTAGACTAATTTTCTGAGTTTTGTTCACATGTTTTAATGTGGAAAAAATATTTAGTGGAAAATAATTAAACATTCTGTAGAAAATAACTCAATCAAATGTTTTCAACGAAATTCATTTCAAATTCATGCACTTCAGTCAATCCATTACATATTTTCTATTAAATTTTCAATTAAAATCGAAGTTGTAAAAAAAAATAGCTTAAAGTTCAAACAATCTCAACTATTTACTGAAGAAGATATTAAGAAAAAATATAGTGCTCAAATGATTAAAAATCTCCAAATCTTCAAATAAAACTAATTGAATAAAACAATAAAAAACCCATCTAACAATGATAAACTTCAAGGACACAGACTTCTCAGTTCTCATTGTCCCCATGATGATTTCATCCTGCCATTGTTCCACTGTTTGATAACAGCAATCTGCAATTTACATTAACAACAAAACCAAAACGTTTGCATAAAACTCAATGGCAAATTGATACAACTGATCCCCATGTTTTCATCAGCAACAAATGTCTCCACATCGCCTGTCTTTGTGCATTAAAAAAAATGAAAAGATAACCGGGGATTGCGTGACCATGGACACAGGCACAAACCGAATTATGGTTAGAGACCAAATGGAAATTGCTGAGAGCAGGTAATCTCGTTACAATGGAAATCGCATCTTCAATCATAATTTAAATTCTTGCTTTATTGAAATGCAAAATCTTTCAATTCATTGGGAGGATTTGTGAAGCTTAAACTGGCAAATGCCGGGGTAATGAGGTCTCAAAATTATTCGATAACGCTTTCATAACGATTTTTTTAGAGGGAATGCCGAGATGAATGAAAAATTCCGTTATGTTATCGGAATTACTTCTGGTGAGAGAGGATGAGGGGATGCCAAACGCAGATAACCCGATCCGTATGACCTATGCAGAGATGACCTGAGCTATTCTAAGCATTCGCGGTAGTGTCTCTCATTAGTGAATGTTTATTGAAACAAACAATGTACTGTAATCAGGGAACAGGTTTCATGCCGAGTATCTAGGATTATTTTACATTAAGGAATGAGTCGATAAGTTCATCTGCTCTTGATCGCTGACGACAGATTATATTCTTCCGTTATGTATCGAATTACGTTTTATAAGGAAAAATGAATTCTATGCGCAGAATTTTATCTTTTTGAGATGAGTTAACAGCCCAGTTATTTTGTAGAGAATTGGAGGAGAATGTTGATTGATTTTTTTCGTGGGATTTGAAAATCTGACGAAAAAAAGGGTTTGACATTTTTAGTTAAGAATAATCTGTAGCGAAATGTAAAGGACAGAAATGACTTCGCACGAAATGAAATAAAATTCGCACGGAATATTTAAGAATATCTGACGCTTGTAAAGGTTCATTATAGTTAGGTTGACAGGAAAATGCCAAAAGACGTTTTTTTTTTATATCTGACGCATGTCTACGTTTGTCATTATCAGTTTTAAAAAAACTTTCAAAATACATTTTTTAGACAGCATGAACTTCTCTACAAAAAACTGTTGGCACTTTTTTTGCTTCCGCATGGAAGCTCTGTAATGGTAATTTTTTTCGATTTCTTAATTTCGGGTGGAAATGCCTAAAAATGTCATGAAACGTGAAGAAATTGTGTTTCTAAAAAATGTCTGTATATGTGTAGGTATGTGTGTGCACATCTGTGTTCATATGTCCAGAATTGAGAATAGAGAATTGGAGGACAATGTTGAGAGTATTTTTTCGTGGGATTTGAAAATCTGACGAAAAAAAGGGTTTGACATTTTTAGTTAAGAACAATCTGTAGCGAAATGTAAAGGACAGAAATGACTTCGCACGAAATGAAATAAAATTCGCACGGAATATTTAAGAATATCTGACGCTTGTAAAGGTTCATTATAGTTAGGTTTACAGGAAAATGCCAAAAGACGTTTTTTTATCTTTTTTATATCTGACGCATGTCTAGGTTTGTCATTATCAGTTTTAAAAAAACTTTTAGAATACATTTTTTAGACAGCATGAACTTCTCTACAAAAAACTGTTGGCACTTTTTTTGCTTCCGCATGGAAGCTCTGTAATGGTAATTTTTTTCGATTTCTTAATTTCGGGTGGAAATGCCTAAAAATGTCATGAAACGTGAAGAAATTGTGTTTCTAAAAAATGTCTGTATATGTGTAGGTATGTGTGTGCACATCTGTGTTCATATGTCCAGAATTGAGAATAGAGAATTGGAGGACAATGTTGAGAGTATTTTTTCGTGGGATTTGAAAATCTGACGAAAAAAAGGGTTTGACATTTTTAGTTAAGAACAATCTGTAGCGAAATGTAAAGGACAGAAATGACTTCGCACGAAATGAAATAAAATTCGCACGGAATATTTAAGAATATCTGACGCTTGTAAAGGTTCATTATAGTTAGGTTTACAGGAAAATGCCAAAAGACGTTTTTTTATCTTTTTTATATCTGACGCATGTCTAGGTTTGTCATTATCAGTTTTAAAAAAACTTTTAGAATACATTTTTTAGACAGCATGAACTTCTCTACAAAAAACTGTTGGCACTTTTTTTGCTTCCGCATGGAAGCTCTGTAATGGTAATTTTTTTCGATTTCTTAATTTCGGGTGGAAATGCCTAAAAATGTCATGAAACGTGAAGAAATTGTGTTTCTAAAAAATGTCTGTATGTGTGTAGGTATGTGTGTGCACATCTGTGTTCATATGTCCAGAATTGAGAATAGAGAATTGGAGGACAATGTTGAGGGATTTTTTTCGTGGGATTTGAAAGTCTGAACAAAAAAAGGTTTGACATTTTTTGTTAAGAATCATCTGTAGCGAAATGCCAAGAACAGAAATGAGATGAAAATTCGCACGGAATATTGAGGAATATCTGACGCTTGGGAAGGTTCGTTATAGTTAGGTTTACAAAAAAATGCCAAAAGACGTTTTTTATCTTTTTTATATCTAACGCATGTGTTTGTCATCATCTGTTTTAAAAAAAAATTCAAATGCATTTTTTAGAGAGTATGAATTTCTCTACAAAAAAGTGCATGCACTTTTTTTTACAAATCCACTAGGTCCAGTGATATTCACAAACTATTGTGGACATCAATTTTTAACACATTTTAAGACATTTCCATATGAAATATCTCTGAATCTATCAAATTCAGAGTCAAATCAGTAGTGAAGCCGGAAAACAGTTCAAGTCGACTGTGACTATTAGTCTGTTTTCAATAAATATCTCGGCATCTAAGGTAAATAGCAAACTTTTTGCTATTACCTTTTTTGTAGCTCTTAATTCACTCTGCAAAAAAGGTCATTAAGAGCTAAGTGAACTTGAACCGTTTCACCGCTTCGCTACTGAAATGTCAGAATAGATTTTTTGTCATTCTGGCCGTAAGGCAGAGCTTTATATTATTTTACATCAAGGAGTGAATCTGATTTTCTCCCACTTTTCTATATAAAATTGCAAATATATCAGAATCTGTCAAATTCAGAGGCAAATGTCAAAATAGTTTTTTCTACATAATTGAATTCCCAACGATTTTTGTAATGGCTTTCTCTCCAACTTTTCCATCGAAGATAATTACGAAATAATCTTCAAATACATTTGGAAGTGTCACTTAATGATTGAAATTCTAATTGCTGCCTCACATTTGAGAATATCTCCGAAAATAACGGGGTCAGAAGATTTTATTGTATTTTATTAAAATATTTCCAAAATATTCTGTAGAAAAATTTTAGCCACATTCCCATATGAAATTGCAAGTATCTCTGAAAAAAATGGATTTAAAAAATAGTATCAAAATATTTTTGATAGGACACGAAACCCTCTAAAAAATTTTTTTTTCATAAACCGCCTAGTTCCCGTGTTATTTATAAAATATTGACACACTTCTATATAAAATTACAATTATCTTAGAACCTATTAAGTTCAGACTGAAATGTAAAAAAAAGTTTTCAGAGATTATTAAATATTTGGCAAAAATTTTCTTTGACAAATTCCTCTAAGCCCCTTCCTTTCGCATCCAATTGCAGAATAATGCCCAAATACTCTTAAAAATGTTCATGAAGATGAAATCCCTCAACACGAATAAACCAGCATTCGTTTAGCCGAAAAATAAAAGAATCAATTTTTCACCCAGAAAAAAAATCAATTATTTTACCTTCAAGAAGTTTTCGCAGAGCTTCAATTCCTTTTTTCACGTTCTCCTCAGTCTCCCTGAGTTCCTTCACAGCCAAAGCGTTGGTCTCCTCATTAAGAGGTCCAGATTCGAGTTGAAAGGCCATCTCCGAACTTGGATTCACTCAGGAAAAATAATTAAAATAAAAAAACCCAGTTAGAATCGTGTGGAGCTCCTCCCAGCAGGACGTCCACGACGAATGTGCTCTGATTTGATACTCGGGGGAGGCTCTACATCATCATCAGTGTCTCCAATCTTTGACCATTACAAAGTCCAATCGGATTTCATGGATTGGGGCTCTTGGACTCAGCTGTTCACGAATGAGAAAACAAAGTGTATGAGCTTGAGTCACCCGCGTCACCCCGCGAAGGCACTTCGGACCGCCTCTCACGAACTTGCTACGGATTGATAACAGCGGAGCTGAGGAATCAGTCGGGTATTATCATCCGTTGCCCTCTTCCATCGACACTCGCTCGATTTCACGTTTATCTCGCGTACGATTGTGTCATTAACAAGGACTGATGCACTTTTTTATTCAGTCTCCGTTACTTTTTTTATATTACGCGCGGGATTGTTGCACCTGATGCAACAGTCGATGCAAATGCACGACGAGAATGAAAATAAGAGAGTGCGGTCTTATTGTTGTTCGTCTTTCGGGTTTCGTGATTGGAGATGAAGGGCGAGGGCACGAGAAAGTAAATCAGTTTGATTTTTTGAAAGTATTTGAAGGTGTCGCGGAGACCGGTCTGAAGGGGAGTGATAAGAGGTAGAACAGGCCGTTTTTTTCTTGCGTCAACTGATGATTTTTAACTATTGACCAATGAATAGTCGTGCGGGCTTTTCTCTGTTAACGAAAAATTTTCCTTTTCAAGTTACCTATTCGTTACTAGTTGACACACTGTTGATAATTAATAAGATTCTTCTAGTAGAATTATTACTTTCAAATTATTCCTTTCGTATTCGATTTAAACATTGTCCCTTCCAAAATTAATGAATGAAAATCAGTTAATTGATTCCGTGTTGACTGAAAATTTTCCGTTTCAGATTACTCGGCTGTTAGCAATTGATAGGCTCTGTTGACAATCGATGAAATCCTCTCATTTTTTAAATAATTCTGCCAGAATTGTTTTAAAAAATATTTGGAAAGCCTCAAAACTCAAAATATTTCTTTAATTTTGAATTTAAAATGATGCAGCTTCGTCGTGCGATTTTAAAAGGGATATTTGATAGAAGTAATTCAATACATTTGGATTTTTCTGACGAATGCGTTGCTTTTTCCATTAAAGTTTTCAATACGTGAAGTATTCATTTTCAAAAGAGTATATTTGCAAGAAAATCTGAAAATCATACTGAAAATCAGTCCCTTGAAATAATTTGTGTTTCAATTTTTCAGTAATATAGTCACATTCTAATAAATTATGAAGAAAAAAAAAGTAGATGTAGAAAATTAATTCACAGAAAAATATCAAAAAGAACTTTCTCATGAAGAGAAATAAAATTATCCACCAAAAGACGTCTTTTCAGATATGCTGATAGGGGTCTTATCCTTGGAAAATCTGAATCCGATTTATCTCTTATTATCACTTCATTAATGAATTGACTAATTGAAAGATTCCAATCTCGTACAGATTATTCTGTGATTAAGCAGGGAGTAATTGAATTGGAGGTACATTTTTGAATCGACAATTCTGATTTCCTGTTTTAATTTTAAAATATTGTAACGAATTCGTAAAAAACGAGAGATGAAGCAAATGAAGGAAAATCGCCAGAAAAATTGCAGGAAAAAAAATTTTACACGTATTTTTTTAATGCAAAATGGAAAATTAATAATGCAGACTTTTCAATTCATATTCGTATTCCATAATTTCATTTGACGAAAAAAATTCATACAAAAGCCCAATGCCAAACATTATTATTCTGCAAATATCGTTAAGACTAATGGGTTTGCAGAAAAATTTTACAAGATTTCCATAGAGAATTTTAGACCCTAAAAAAATTTCTCCGATATTTTCATTAAAGCCACCAGTTTCCGAGATGTTCATAAAATTATTCGCATTAATTTCTTTCGAATTAATGAAGAACGAGAGAAGAGTCAACAACTGCAGTTGCGCATACCATTCTGTCATTATTGGAGATGAAAACGACCCGAAACAGATTAAACAGTATTTCTTTATTCCGATAAATAATGAAGAATGAATAATGCAGACATTTCACTTGATTTTCGCATCCAACAAATATCACAGGGAGAGAAATGTTCAGTAAAAATTACGGAACTCACAATTCACTCACTCAAATTGAAGTGACGGTATCGTAATTTTTCACGAGAGATTCAGAGAAAAATTACGGAACGCTCCGAAAAATTCCGTGACAGTTGCGGAAAATTTCCTACAACCACATTCCGCTCCGGAATTACGGAAAAGATACGTAATTTTTATTGAATATTTCTCTCCGTGCACAAAATGTCACAAGCGTTTATCGCACAGAATTTTATTTCCTAAAAAAAATGCCTCCGAGATGTTTCTCTGAAGCCACTACTTTCCGAGATTATCACAAAATTATCTGCATTAATTGGTTCTATAATCTTCACTGATGGTTCTCTAGTTTTTCCCACTTCACGGAAAAAAAACCTGGGAAATTGTTTCTTCGCGTCGGAAAACTTGTCTCTCACATCTGCACCCTAGACCCGCTGTCATAAAACTGAAGTGGAATTACACTCTGCAAAAAGTCTTACCTATTATAAAATCTGAATAGTGGATAGAGTCTTCGGATTATGTTGATTATATCCTCGCCAAAGAGCCAAAGAGACGTAAAAGCTACACTTGCACACAGCCTTCGCGCCCTTTTGGCTTTGCGACGATGATATTACGCTACAAATTGCTCTGCATTGAAAATTCGAATGAGATATCCAATCGCAATGATGATCATCGATCAACACTGTTGGGTGTTTTTCATCGTTGGACTCCTGATTTATGAACACTCGATTGGCGAATAACTCAATGATCGGAGTCCTCGGCGTTCTGTCCATGGCGACACTTTAGACCTCTGAAAGATTAATAATGATTTACGAAGCGATTGGTTTTTTTTATTGTTCTGCTATGAACATGCAAAAATTGTGCATAATAGCGATCAATGAGAAGTGAAAATGACGGGACGCACGAAAAAATTTAATAGAAAAATATATCGAATTCGTTAGAAAATTCTATTGAATTTCTAGTAAACTTTCTATTAGTTTTTGGCTGATTCTATTGACATGTTCAATAGAAAACATTCAATAGAAGAAGTCAACAGAATTCGAGTTTTCTATATAACTCATTCTTTTCATATATTTTCTATAGAATTTGCTCGACTCAAATTTTCTAGGTTTTTTTTATTTTTTTTCTTTTCTTCTCATCAAGAAAATCAAACGAAAAAACTTGAGCCGAGGAAATTCTATGGAAAATATTTCAATAGAATAAGTTATGTAGAAAAATTGAATTCTATTGACTTTTTCTACTGAATATTTTCTATTGAACATTTCAATAGAATCAGCCAAAAACTAATAGAACAGTTCAATAGAAATTCAATAAAATTTTCTAACGAATTCGATAGGTTTTTCAATTTAATTTTTTCGTCCGTGATTTTTCTCGAGGTCTTAATTATTAATTATGGGTAGTTTTTCGTCACACGGAGAGAAATATTCAGGTAAAAAAAATGAAGAACTACTGCGAAATATTCAAATGCTAGGAGGAAATATCCGAAATAAAACTGTCGGGTAGCCTCAAATACTGCGTTCTGATTGGCCGAAATCCGATTGAGAAAAATACTCAATAAAAATTACGTATTTTCTCTGTAATTCCGGAGCATAATGTGGGTGTAGAAAATTTATAGGTAATTTAAAAAATAAATGTGATGACTATTTAACATTGACGGAAAACCGGGCAAAATGGGCTCTCGAAAGATTCTCGAGCTATTCTTGAGACAGATCTTACCTACGTTTTCCCAATAGTTTCTCCCATTTTGTAAGGATGAGCTGCATCAACAATCTTATTGAATAATAATTTTAAAAAAATAATAATAAATAGTAATAATAATTTTTGTATTATTATTATTATTATTATTATTATTATTATTATTATTATTATTATTATTATTAGTATTAGTATTATTATTATTATTACGACTAGATATTTCAATCGAATTCATTTAAAATTTCAGGTCGACTTATCTACCCGCACAAACTTTGCGAAGAGTTTTTTGGAGATGAAGTGGACCGTAGAAATCCTCAACTTCATCAGCGACGGCTGAAGAAAAATGTAAGTCATAATGCTTCTCCATATGTATATATAGAATATTTTAATATTCAATTCTGGACAAATGGAGAGGAACCTGATATTCGTATGATTTGGATTTGAACGCGCGATTTTGTGACGACCAGAATAATGCTCTTGGCAGTTGAGCCATCAAGGGGAATGCCAAGCAGAAGTAATTAAAGTTTGATAACTCGAGTACTGTCATCACGTATAATTACGTAAATCGAAATAATTCTGATTGTGAGCAACAGATGAAAAATTGTCATGAGTCATTACAATGTCGCTGTGAGCCTGCAGAATTAATTAAAAGTAGAATAGGAATTTGAGATCCAATTCCCGACCAACAAAGGAATAACAAATGTTGTGTTGATTATATTGGTAAAAGCCATTCCATTTTCTAACAAACTCGTGACTTTGTCGGGATTCGAACTCCCAAACTTGTGATTACCAGGGTAATGCTCTTAGCAGTAGAGCCACAAAGGGTGACGGCAATTAAAAATACCTGAAATTTGATAACTCAAGCATTTTTGCCCCTCATGTAACTCTGTTAATTAAACATTCTTGAGAGAAAAATTCCGAGTTTTTAATTTAAACGATGCTATGTAGGTATTCATTTCGTAGGATTATGGAATAAGAAATGGAATCTACACGGAGAGAAATATTCAATAAAAATTACCAGAAAAAAGACGTAAAAATTACGTTTCGAAACGTAATCTGGGAGCGAAGTAAAATTCAATAAAAAGTGTCAATCGTCACGTAAATTCTACGATCTGTTCCGTAAAAATTACTCATCCGTCCGAGGCCTCACGGCTAGCCATGAGTCACCGTGAGGGGGAGATTTTAACAACACGTTCCGTAATTTTTCCGGAACTTTTCGTAAAAATTCTTAAACATCCAAGAATTTTCATGTTCTGAGGTATAATAAGTATTGAAGTTTCTGTTAGATTTTACAACTTCCAGAAAAATTACGTGACTTTTTCGTATTTTTTCGGTGACAGACCCGAAAATTTACTGAACGTTTCAGATTGATTCTCTTATATTCCTATAGAAATTCACTGGAAACGATTCTCGCTTGCGGATTACGTGAAATCTTCCGTAATTTTTCTTGAATATTTCTCTCCGTGTATTATCAAATTCATTTTTCAAATGATTCTGACCGAAAGGAATGAATGGAAAAATTGCAATTTTTGATAACTTTGTTTGCGTCAGCAGACTTAATAAAAAAAATTGCAGGCATCTGTATTTTTGATACAGCAGTAATTGTACGTGACTCCTTGCATTCCCGCGAACTTTCTAGAAACTCCTTGAATTTTTTGAAAATTCAAGAAACTTGTCGAATTACCTCGAAATGTTTAGAATTTTCTAGAATTCCGATAAATGGCGCTACACGTAAGAACCGTTTCCCAAAATGACCCCCCATATGGAAACCGTAGACGTGTCCACGTCAAAAAATTGGAATTCAACTTGAGATGAACAGCGTTCAAGAGATTCAAGACAAATATTGGATTTATCATATTTGCGACAACCACGCGATTGTCTACATTCACACATTGGGATTCTAACTCACAATCGTCAGATTATCGGGTGAATGCTTTTACCAATTGAGCCACGGGGCGTCATTACAAATGGAAATAAATACAATTTGATGATTCGATCGCTGCTATTACTCATATAACTCTAATTAAAATCTTTCGAGACCGGGAAATGTTGAATTATGAACCCGCACTGAATGCTCGTAATGAATCGAGTCAGGAAGTTAAAAATTAAAAATTAAAAAATTCATACACACCCATCGTAAGAGTAGTAGTCACACAACACAGAGTTATTCGCGGATACGGCGGGGTTTGAACTCCCAATCCCCCGATTATCGGAGCTCTCTGAAATTTTCTCAGTTGAGCCACTGTGTGACAACCGCAATTGAATGTAATTGATCTCGTGTTACTCAAAATTATCATCACTCATTAAATTTTTTTCATTTCAATATCAGAACATAAGCGCTGATCCCGGTATCTAAAGAATTATGAGTAATAAATAAGAGTATCACATAATTTTGATAATTTTTTTTGCGTCTACGGAACGCTTCCCAAATTCAAAATAATTAAATCAAAGATTTGGGTGTTAAAACTTAAAGGATAAGGCAATGATTGTTTTAATCAGTTTAATTAATTTTAACGTTTAGAATTCCATTTTTAAGTGGATTGATTGAAGAATTGTATTAGTTTTTCTGTTGGCATATTGGAAATAAGGAAGAGGTCTATGGCAGTTGCGTAAATGTCTCCGTTGTTGATCCCAAAATTCACTACAATAGAAATTCTCGAAAGACAATGCTGGCTTATGCGCTGAAAAATTCTGATTTGAATTCAGTAGCGAAGCGGTAAACCGGGTCAAGTCGACTTAGCTCTTCGCTGAGTTTTCGAGGAATATCTCCGAATCTAAGAGAAATAGCGAAATTGTCATTATAACCTTTTTTGTAGAGCGAATTAAAACCTACAAAAAAAGTTATTACACAAACATAACTACCTTTCTTAGATTCCGAGATATTCGTTAAAAACTGACCAATAGTCTAAATCGGCTTAAACCGGTTTACCGCTTCGCTACAGAATTCTATGAAAATTTCTGTAGGAACCATTGGATTTTCGTTTACTTTAAAAATTTGGTAAAAAACTTTGCTTACGCGAATGTACAAAATTACCCGTTAGAAAGAATTTCATCAACGAACCTAGCAAAATCGATAGGAAATTCTAGTCGATTTTTATTGGACTTCTATTGAACAATTCTACAATTCTACAGCTCGTTTTTACATAAAATGTCCAGTCAGAAATATTTTACAGAAGAAATCAGGGGAATTTCATCTTTCAATATAACTTTTTATATTGAGACATTCTGTAGTAATTCTTCGACATGAATTAGCCAAGTTTTTCGACAGTGTCTATTCGCGCGCTCCACGGTAAATTTTACCGTGGATTCAGGGTAGATTCTCACTCACATCTTGTCTGACATCTCTGCTATGAACTCTGGTTTTTAACTCTGACAGGTGAGTTCAAAACCGTATTTCGGCACCCACTCCTGCACTCGGACTCCATTAAACAAATATGAATATAATTGAGAAAACGTTCACACAAAATGTAAAAAAAACTATTTATTTCATCATTTATTGGCGTTTACTCAGCGATTTGTCAACCATTTATTTCATATTTTATTTGCGTTAATCTAGACTGGTATTCGTATTCAACGAATTAATATTTTGAGAAAATTATTTACAAGTCTACTATCTGCATATCACTTATCAATTGATTCGATGTGTCTAGTTTATTGTCTAGATTTAATTTGAGAAGTAAAAGTTGACGGTCCATGATCTCCCATATATCCACGGTAGAAATTACCTTGAATCCACGGGAAAACTTCCCGCATGTCTACGGTCGAAGTTACCGTGGAGCGTGTGAATAGACACTGCCAAGTTTTTTCCACGTCATTTTTCTTTCCTTTTCAGTTCAAGAATCAAACAAAAGAACTTTTGAAAAAAGTTCTGAACAAAAGAAAATTTGAGCCGATGAATTTCCGTAGAAAATATCTCAGTAGAATAAATTGTATAAAAAAATTAAATTTTTATTGCAAAAGAACGTTATAAAAAACCGCTGTTTATGTCAATAGAAATAAATTCCATATAAAAAATCTCAATACAATAAATTGCGTAAAAAAAATATTCTACTGATTTGTCCGATAGAATATTTTCTATTTAACATTTCCATTGCAAAAAACGCGAAGATAAGCTGCGGAATTTTCAAATAGAATAAGCCAAAAGCTAAGAAAAAAATTGAATAGAAAACCGACAAGTTATTCTGTGAATTTCTTCGTATGTGCATCATATTAAACAGCAGCGGAAAAAAAATTCAAACGAAAATTTTCCACCTGACGATAATTTTGCAACAATTGCTCTATCTCAATTGAATCCCATCATAAAGAAATCCCCTGACATGAAAAACTACTTAAAAAACCCTTCGCAGCGCAATCGTTGTATAAGACACCTTCCGATAGTCAACTGGAACATATTCAGTGGAATTCCGAAGCCCCTACCATCGACCACACGTCAAAGTGGGGACGACTTTTTCATAAGAGACGCGTCTATCGAACGAACAGCGCAGCACAAACTACCTCCAGTCTATTTTGACAACGTAAGTAATGATTTTCAGAATATAATCGATTAACTAATTAAGTTGAAGCCTTATAACCCAATGGTATATCATTTCTACGTGAATTGAGATCAAATTTCGTACAAGATAGTCGCTTGACGTTCCCTCTAACCTCAATTCAGCAATGGATGGATAAATGGGGCAAGTGAAGTCAGCTCACAGTTAGTTTTGAGAAAATGACCTAAAATCCTAGGAGAATAACGTAAAAATTCATAAACATTTATTGTAGCCCTTAAATTGTTTGAAAAAACTCCTTCTCAAATGTGTCCCCTCAAATTCCGAGATGTGTATTTATTAAAACTAAATCCGGAGGGAGATTCACTTATAAAGAAAAAATCAGATAAAAAATCTGACGCATTCGCTATAAAACTTTATTGAAATACCTCTAGTTACTCTAATCTCTTTAATCGTTATTTTATCTGTAGATCTCTGAAAATAAATTCTATAAGTTTCTTTTCAGTTTTTTTGTCTCTTATTGAAAAAATTAAAGGAAGAGGAGAGATAAAAATTTAATTCTCGAGGATTATCATGAGGAAATATTAACGGAAAAGATTGCCGAGAGATATTAAAACCCTGTGATTTTTTTAATCATATATTTGCAATGGATATATTTTCTAGGCCGTTTCGTTTTATTAGAGTCACTAGATTTTTTGGCATTTTTTTTCAGATGTTAATTACATTTTGGTATAATTCATCATTTTTGATAGCTTGAATAATTATAAATAATAATTTTTCAATTTGATTGATTACATATAATATTTATTAGGACGGTATTTTTCCGGAGAGTTTCTAGTTGGGGGGCCAAATAAATCTTTTTCCAAGATTCTTGAATAAATCAACTTATAAAAATCCACTGAAAACTTATTGAGTTTCAGTACAAAATTATAAAAAGCTGATAATAAAACTCATAGAATCTCATGGAAATTCCAACATAATTTTATAGCCTGTAATATTATTATCAGTAGAATAACATAATTAAATGTTTAATCCAATTTGATCTATTCGAATTATTGGGATAAAAATAGCATTAATGGAAAAAAAACATCTACTCTATTCCATGTCGATAGAATTTCGTAAAAAGACGTACTCTTAAATTTTTTTCCTGTTTTCATCCCCATTTTTTTTTGAATTTTCAAGAGAATTCAAAATTAATTTACAAAACTGCCAAGAATTTCCTCAAGTTTTCTAGAAAACCGTAGTTTTCTTAAGTTTTTTTTTCGGAAATGAATGAATTTTTAATTTTTTTTTAGAAAATCGGCTTATTTTTTCAAATTTTCTCGGAAAATCTAGAATTTTCTAGAATTCCGAAGATGGCATTGCCCTCCATAACGAAACCCTAGCCGTATCCACGTCAAAAAACTTCAGTCTCTTCATTACTAGATTGTACAGAGCCTAAAGTTTTTCCGTCCAAAAAAATCCCCAATTACGTGAAGAACCAGTTAAAAACCCCCCACCGACAATAACTCCCTTACCTCACAATTTGCACTTTCACCGCTAAATTTTCCCCCAATTTCAAACCAAAAATTGTCATCCTCCTCTTGCATTTCAGTGATCATCATGCCCAACGAGTCGGACCCATTGCCAAAGCAAAAGCGTGCAGCATCATCGAAGTCTCCTCGCAAGAAAACCAGAAAAAGCTACTCTTTCCGAGAGAAAGCAGCGATGATCGCCGCCTTAGCGACTAAACCTCTCACAGCAGTAGCCCGAAAGAACGGTATCAACGAAAAGTTGCTCTACAAATGGAGAAGAAACCACAATTTGATTTTGGAAGCTGCGGCGAGTGAAGTTCTCTCGCAAAAGAAGAAGAACAAGCCAGTAAACGAAGAACTCGAGGAGCACCTGTACAACTGGTTCTTGAAGGCCCAATCAGCTGGGATTCCTGTGAGTGGACCGATCGTGCGAGCAGTGGCACTGGATCTCAACAAACAACTAGGTGGCAAGGAGACGTTCAAAGCTAGTCACGGATGGCTCGACAGGTGGAAGAAGCACAAGAATATTCGATTCCCCCGAGAAAGATCATCACCAGGAACTTGTGCTGCAGAACCTTCCGAATACGAATCCCCAGCGATGATGGAAGAAGAGAATTTCATAAAGACTGAGGAGATGTCTCCACCAGACAGTCCAAAATCAGACGCAGATGATCACAAAGACTTCGTGACGAACTTCGTGACGAATTGGGCACCTAATCCTCCTGAGACAGCAGCAGCTGCTGAAAATTCGGGAACGGAATCTCGTATGAATGAGGAAGCTGTCAGTAATTTTGACGACAATCTAGTAAAAAATGAAAAGGTGTCTCCACCAGGAAGTCCCTGCTCTGACGCAGGTGATGACAGAGACTTCGCAACAGCGTGGCTGCCGATTCATGAGGAAAGGTCTCCAGGTTCTTCCAACTCTGACCCCGACGACCTCGAGGAATTCTCAAAGAAATCAAGGAAGAGCTACTCCTTCCAGGAGAAAGCAGACATCATCAGACTTCTGAAAACGACGCCTGTCTCAGACGTGTCACGAGAGTCTGGCGTTCATTACAGATTGCTGTACAAGTGGATGAGGAATGAGGAGGTGATTTTGGAAGCTGCGAGGAGGGAGGATATGTCGGGGAGAAAGCAGAAGGGGCATAGGAACGAGGAACTCGAGGATCATGTGTACAAGTGGTTCAAGGCAGCACAGTCAGCTGGAATTCAAGTCACTGGGCCGATTATAAAGGCAGTGGCGTTGGATTTAAATAGACAGTTGGGTGGCAAGGAGACGTTCAAAGCTAGCTGTGGGTGGCTCGATAAGTGGAAGAAACTGAAAAAAGTTGTACTTCCTCGACTGCCGGGGAAGTCATCGTCTGATGCACCTGCTGAGGGTTCTTTGGAAGGTGAATCTCCAGAGGTGATAAGAACAGAGGATTCCATAAAGACTGAAGATGTTTCGGAAGATGGGTCTCTCCCAAGCAGTTCCAACATTGATGCAGACGAACACAGAGGGTTCGTAACTGAATGGCTTCCGATGTCTGAAGAGGTGCCTCCCCCAGGCAGTCCAGACTCTGATGGGAACAATCAGAGGGTCGTTCTGAACCGGAAAAGTTACTCTTTTGCGGAAAAAGCCAAGGTTTTGAAAGCTTTGGAGACTGAATCTCACAAAGCTGTAGCAGAGAGGTTCTGCATCAGTGAAAAGTCACTGTACAGGTGGAAGAGAGATCGTGTGATGATTCTCGAGGCTGCGGCGAGAGATGGCACAATGAAAAAGAGCCGGAACAGGCTTGGAAAATACCGAAGCTGCGCTAAAAGTTTGATAGTTGGAGTGGATCCTGAAAGAGAGCTGGGGGATGGGGATTCCAAGGCGTCCGAGGCTAGTTCTGGATGCCTCGATCATTAGAAGAAACATGAAATGTTGGATTTTCACGGAGCTAGAGATTTTCCGGAATTTGAAAATCAACATCTGTTGAGGAGTTCTAAACTCTTTTTTACTAGAGATACTCAGTACCTGACTTTTGTATTTTCCTCGACATGTTGTTGTATTAAATGATTATTAAATTTTAAAGAATTGAAGAAGTGAAATCAGCTTTTTCTTCATCTAGTCTGTAAATTTTCTGCAACGAAAAAATCTTGAAAATACTCTTGAGTTTTTTTTGCGAAGATCTGAAAAACGAAGAGGAATACAAAAATTCTTCAAGTTGCTTTCTTGAAAATCTAATTAAAAAATCTTGTATTTTTGGATAAAAACTCCAAGAGATTTCTATTCGTGTTGTTCAGTCAATTTTCATTTGTTTCTCGTTACAAATATGAGTAAAAAAATGGGAATTTGATGCGGCAGAATTCGGGTAGAAAAAATGCTAACAGAATAATTTGTATAGAGAAATAAAAATCTATTGACTTGTTTCTATTAAACATCGATAAAAAAACATTACGAAAAATTATTTAATTTAGCAGAAGCCAGTAAAAAACAAATAGAATGCCTAAGACCATTCTAATAGTCTTTTAATAATGTTGTTATAGATAGCAAATAAATTTTGTATTAAAGAGAATGTATTTCCTATTGAATTTTTTCATATACCACATAAAAAATTGAGAACTACTGAATTTCTATCAATTGTATCAAAGTTCTATTATAATTCCATTTAATTCTATCATTTTGTACCGCCGATTTTCTATTCAAAATTCTACTATGTACTTCGTCGCATGATTTTTAGTATACATTGGATAAAAAAAAATACATTTCGATAGTTTTGAATCAATTATCCTCTCGAGATTGACAGAAAACTTTCTTCTTTCCTTTTTTTATTTCTCATTACAAAATCTCACAGAATAAATCATAGTACACATCATAGGCAAATATGTGTAGTCATAATCATATAACAACATTCTTGACTTTCTACCATTAAATATCTGTCGCAAAACGCGCGGCAAATTTGCATAATTCCAACTGGCCATCGACGCGAAAAAAAAACTATTTTCTGTAAATTTCTGTAAAATTTTTTCCAAAGAAAAGAAGAATTCCGAAAACGTAATCTCTTCATTGAATGTGATGCTTTTAAAAAATCATAAGTATAACGACTTTTCCGCGTATGAAAATTCTATTTTATGAAAATACTATTTTGTGTTAAATGTCACTAGAAATTTTATAAAGCCCCAAAACATGGTTTTCCAATTGAATGTGTTTTTCAAAAATGTTACAAAAAATTCATAAATGTAGCGACTTTTCCCTGTATGAAAATTCTATTTTATAAAAATACTTTATTCTGTAAAATTGCAGTAGCAATTCTATGAATTCCTAAAACATGGTTTCCCAATTGGATGTGATATTTTTAAAATGTCAAACGAAAAATTCATAAATATAGCGGCTTTCCTATGCCCCCTCCCCCTTTGATTATCAACAATAGGTAAAACTTCAACTCAAAATCTCCCTCCAGTGCAAAAAAACGCACGTGCGCATTATTCTGCAACATCAGTAACAATTGTAGCGCGTGAAACACCTCCGCCGTGCGATTGCAGTAGGAAAAAAATCCCCCCATTTATTGGAAAGAATCCGTGTGACCGTGTGAAGCAATGAGCGACGGCGCGTTCTGATGTGTTCGCTGTGCATACCCGCAAAACTCTGTCACAACTCCGGCCACAAATATGTCGAAATCCGAGAGCCCCGCGACAGATACGATAGACGGAATCTGGCCCTTTCTTCAGAGCGTAAGTTCTAAGACCTCATAAACAATTTTCGCGACGCAATCACCCGATGAATATTGCATTGGGAGCGATTGTAGGTTATGTTGTGGATGAAAAACGTTTGTTTTTGTGAGGAGAACCGGGGATTAGTCGGTTCAAATCCCTCCGCAATGACTGCGAATTGAATTAGCGGGGTGATCATTAAGTGCGGATTAATTAGATTCTGGATCTTTTGATCGAGTGGCTGATGACATGTGTTTGTGCGATGACACGACGCACACTCGGGTCTTCCTCAGGTGTTCAAGTGGTTTTGTGTACGTGGTGGAACCCCAGCGGGGCGGCCTATTGTCACGTTTCCTTCGCAATTAACTCTTCATAGCGGGGGAGGCAATTGGATTTTTTTTATTCTTAGTCTTGATTCATTGTGGATTGAGCCACTGGTTTGTTGACGTCAGCATGACTGTAGAGGATTTTTAATCAAATAGGCGCAATTGTGATGATACAATGCGCGAGATTATTGGAGGATTCGATGTTTGCGGAGAGAGATGGGGAGTGCGATCAGGTGGATTACACGTCTTTGTTTATTTAATTTTACGTATGAACGAAGGCTCCAAAAAATTCTATTGAATTTCTATGAGAATTCTATTGAAAAGTTTAATTTCTTTTTGCGCTAATTCTATGAAATATCGTGCTACTGTTTTTGTATGGATATTTGTTCATAGGAAAAAGTCGGTATCGAATCAAGGGACAATTGACAGCCCCATAGTGGCAGTTATTTAATTCATCTTTAACCGGAAATTTACATTATCAATTATTTTATTGCTACACTCCGTGCTCGCTCCGCTCGCCAACTATCATATATGACCTACGTATGATCCCCATGATCCTTATTCTGACCCTTGTTACCCTTATTTGGACCCTCGATCGGATCCTTAATCTTGTGACCCTTAATCTGACCCCTGTGAGCCATATTTGGGCCATTATTCTATCCTTATGACCCCTAATCTGATTCTCGCCCTAATCTGAATCTATTTTGGCTCTCGTGACCCTTAATCCGACTCTTGTGACCCTTAATCTAACCCTCGCGACCCTTAATCTGACCCCTGTGAGCCCTATTTGGGCCCTTATTCTATCCTTATAACCCCTAATCTGAACATATTTTGGCTCTCGTGACCCTTAATCCGACCCTTGTGACCCTTAATCTAACCCTCGCGACCCTTAATCTGACCCTCATGACCCCTATTCTGAACCTCATGACCCTTATTTTGACCCTCGTGACTTTTATTTCAGCTCTTATGACTTAATTTTGAGTACCTAATTTTTATTACCAAAACTTGATTTGGATTTTTATAATATAGAGAGATTTTTCAATTTCGATGATTATATGTCCCTAGTGGGCCCTATTTGGGCCCTTATTCTATCCTTATAACCCCTAATCTGATCCTCGCCCTAATCTGAACCTATTTTGACTCTCGTGACCCTTAATCCGACCCTTGTGACCCTTAATCTAACCCTCGCGACCCTTAATCTGACCCTCATGACCCCTATTCTGAACCTCATGACCCTTATTTTGACCCTCGTGACTTTTATTTCAGCTCTTATGACTTAATTTTGAGTACCTAATTTTTATTACCAAAACTTGATTTGGATTTTTATAATATAGAGAGATTTTTCAATTTCGATGATTATATGTCCCTAGTGGGCCCTATTTGGGCCCTTATTCTATCCTTATGACCCCTAATCTGATCCTCGCCCTAATCTGAACATATTTTGGCTCTCGTGACCCTTAATCCGACCCTTGTGACCCTTAATCTAACCCTCGCGACCCTTAATCTGACCCTCATGACCCCTATTCTGAACCTCATGACCCTTATTTTGACCCTCGTGACTTTTATTTCAGCTCTTATGACTTAATTTTGAGTACCTAATTTTTATTACCAAAACTTGATTTGGATTTTTATAATATAGAGAGATTTTTCAATTTCGATGATTATATGTCCCTAGTGGGCCCTATTTGGGCCCTTATTCTATCCTTATGACCCCTAATCTGATCCTCGCCCTAATCTGAACCTATTTTGACTCTCGTGACCCTTAATCCGACCCTTGTGACCCTTAATCTAACCCTCGCGACCCTTAATCTGACCCTCATGACCCCTATTCTGAACCTCATGACCCTTATTTTGACCCTCGTGACTTTTATTTCAGCTCTTATGACTTAATTTTGAGTACCTAATTTTTATTACCAAAACTTGATTTGGATTTTTATAATATAGAGAGATTTTTCAATTTCGATGATTATATGTCCCTAGTGGGCCCTATTTGGGCCCTTATTCTATCCTTATAACCCCTAATCTGATCCTCGCCCTAATCTGAACATATTTTGGCTCTCGTGACCCTTAATCCGACCCTTGTAACCCTTAATCTAACCCTCGCGACCCTTATTTTGACCCTCGTGACCTTTATTTCAACTCTTATGACTTAATTTTGAGTACCAAATTTTTATTACCAAAACTTGATTTGGATTTTTATAATATAGAGAGATTTTTCAATTTCTCTTAATATTGAAGAATCCAATGATTGATGACCATCCCTGCTGCCAACGTTGGGGCAATGTTGAATTCAGTGAATCATTGAATTCAATTTTAAATACGTCGTCATAGAAATTCCATTCGGAAGCAAATTGCTGATTTATTAGCAAAAATGTATGGACTATGTAGTGACGAAAGCATTTTTCCACTTGTTTTAGTTCGAAATTCTAACAAATCCTTCCATATTTAGAATTTTACCAAAAATCGATATCATCAGAAAACAAGAACAAAAATAGAATTCGGAGGGCCCCTCGGCGGTGGTGAAGCCCCTCGGGCGATGGTTTTTTATAAGGAAATTATTTTCTTGTGTCTTAATGTTAAAAAAACAAAAAATTGATTGTAATTTTCGAATTAGTTTTATCTTGTTTTGAATTTTTGGGGGATCTCTCGAACTATCCCAGCAAACAGTGTGTCGACAATTTGCCGACTAATTGCCGATGTCCTGTTAAATTTTATATGGCATTGACAAAAATTGTTTTCTGGAATAAAAATGTGTTTTATTTTTCAGATTGAATGGAGGGACCCATGGCTAGCGCTCCTCCTCGTCTTTCACGTTGCGGTTACCATGACTGCCTTAATGACACGAAATCACGCCAACTTCCAAATATTGTTATTCCTCGTACTACGTGAGTTGATGATTTTCTATGTTGCGAGATACTATGAGATAAGATTTCACGTTATCGTTATGTTCTGGTGGTTTCAGTTTTGCTCGTCTACTTCTCGGAGAGTATCAATGAAGTGGCCGCGAGTAATTGGAGGTACTGATAAACAATGTTTGGGAATTTTTCAAAGTTGGAGGATTTTATTTTTGGTTTTTTCCATTGCAGGGTCTTCTCGAGGCAACAGTATTTCGATTCTAAGGGTCTATTTATATCCATCGTATTTTCCGTGCCGATATTGATGAATTGTATGATAATGGTGGTAAGTGAAACTTGATTGAGTAATCATGATAATTTGTTCGTGGGGGAGGGAGTCGAGGAGGAAGTCTCAGAGTAAAATATATCAATCTGCTAATTCTATATATAGAAGATATTTTTTTATAAAAAATGTTATGAATTATTTATTCTATTTATTTATTAAAATACTTAAAAATTATTCAAGTTTTCAAATTACTTCAATTTCTGTGATGAACAGACGGAATATTTCGTAATGGAAGGAGAAATCTGACAGTTTTTTCTATAAAGTCACTGCTTTTGAAGCTATTTCAGAGAGAAGCTGCACCTGAGTTTTTTATGCATAAAAAATGGCAACAGATTTTCTTTTTAGAGAATTTCATAATTTAGAAAAACGTTTTTTCGCCATTTCTTTTACAATGTTACTCATTGGAGAGGTATTTCCGAATGCAGCTGCACTCGAATCTTCTATACATCTACAAAATGTCGAAAGACTTTTTTGACAGAATTTCATAATCTGTATATAATAAAATTGGTTTGACATTTTTTTTATAAATTCGCTACTTCTAGAGTCATTTTCAAAACCAGTTGATGATGAATTACACCAGACAGATTATAAAAAAAATTTTTTGGAGAGAATTTCATTATTTGTTGACAAAAATCACCTGACATTTGACTCTAAACTCATTAATTTTTAAGCCATTCACAAGATCAGACGTTTAGATTTTACGTTTAATCCTCTCTTTCTCCCTAAACATGAAAAAACTTCCCGTTCTAATTATCACCAGAATAAACATTGAAATGGCAACAATAATTAGCAGGAAATAACCGACGATTACAGGTTTTATTTCAAAAGTTCTTTTGCCATGTCTTTCATAATCTTATTAATTTCAGAATTATTTCCGAATCCATCTGCAAGAATATCAAAACACATGAAGAATTTCATGATTTATTAACAAAAATCATTTGACATTTGACTCTAAACTCATTAATTTTGAAGCCATTCACAAGATCAGACGTTTAGATTTTCCATTTAATCCTCTATTTCTCCCTAAACATGAAAAAACTTCCATTTCTAATTATTAACAGAGTAACAATTAAAATGGCAACAGTAACAAACAGGAAATCACCGACGATTTCAGTTTTTTCACCCCTCTTACCCATTCACCGAGTACCTAAAAACTTCCTCTCATCAATAAACATGAACTAAAAGAAACATTTTACGTCATTTGTGGCATCTCACGACGAAGTGTCAATGAAAATATTATTAAAATTCTGCGATACTTGCAGGCAAGTTGGCTATACCAATCCAGTCAATTAATGACTAGTTTGAAGAGGGCACAATTGCGTCAACAGGCGAAAAATCGACAGGGTGAAAGTGACACGACAACACCGAAACTCAAGCCAAAGGCAGAGTGAAAATCATCATCGCAAAATCTAGTCATGTTCATTTACAAGAATAACGATTTCTACGATTAAGTGTTGAATACTAACGTAAGTGGACGAGATAGATCATCGTTTCGATGGGACTTTGAGCGTTAATTCTCGTCTGGTTGTCAAGAGTTTTCAGTAAAAAAGGAGTTCACCAGGATTGCAGATTTTTTCCTCCCTTTTTTTATCGAGAAGTGAGTGAAGGCGATTGGTAGATGAGGAAAACTATGTGACTTATTAATTATTAATCAATCGGCACTATTAGACTGTATATGATGTTTGTACATTTTTTAAAAAGCCTATTGTTGCATAATATTTGTATGATAATCAAAACGTCGAGCTCGTCTTATTTCGAGTAGTCAAAATCTCTGAATGTGATTTTTTCAAATTTTGTTCTCCAAATTTTGGGATTTTGAAGTGAAGTTGTCAAACGTTGTGAGGAAAATTCAGCATTTTAATCATATACATGGATTTATGTTGTAGAGGCCCTAGGGAGGAATGTGGAAGAATTTTTTTTGTAGGAAATTCAATTAATTAACAAAAATATCTTCATAGTTTCTTTTAGAACCACTCGTCATCGAGATATTTTAATATTTAACATGAAAAAGAAATCCTCCAATTGTGAAATGTGAGATCTTTTTTGTAGGAAATCTAATTATTTAGAAAAATGCGATGTTGCCAATTTAAATGACCGACTATCGAGACAGTTGTGTAATTCTTTGATGCGATATCAAAAAATAAAAATGTTAAATATGAAGATATCTCAAGAACGAAAGCTGTTATGAAAATATATCAGAAAGCCTTCTGTCATTCCTTTCTGAGACTTCTCTTTAACGAGCTAATTTAATATTTAACATGAATAGTTTGAAAAGAACTCTTAATTGTACATTTATCTCAAGAACAGGTGATTTTACGAGAAAATGTGAAAAGATTTTTTTTTGTAGCAAATCTAATTCTCTAGAAAGAAAAGTGACATTTCCTATTCAACAACAAAAACTGTAAAAAAAAGAGAATAATTTTATGATGAATTTCTCCAATTATTAATTTATCTTAGGACCGAGTGATTTTCGGGGAAAAATTCCTCCTGAAAAAACTCATCACTGAGATAACTTAATACTCAATAAAAAAATATTTGATAAATTGTGAAGAATCGAGAGATCTGTTACGTATTACCACTTCACTCCTGAATCAAGTGCATGTGTTCCAACGCATTCCTGCGGCTTTTCCATTCTACCAGAACAAACGTGGTCATAAGTAGAGAAGAATCGAACTATTGGGACACAAGAGTGTTCAGCGTACTTACTAATACCGCAGATTTTAATCATTTAACATAATGAAGGAGAAGGATACAAAATCATCACCTGCTATTTTATTAGGATTAGTAAAGTACCCGGGGATACGTCCTCACTTTAACAACGAATTATTGTTCGTCTTCCTCTGATTTTTCTTATCGAATTGATGCAAGTGAAGAGGAATATTGTAATTACCAAGCCATGCTTGCTGAAAAAAAAAATTATGTATACACGAATTTTGTTTTTTTCGTTGTGTTAATTCAATATTCTTGCCTTTTTTATTGTGAAATAAATAAAAAATATTTATGCATAAAATTTTTGTTATTCATTTTTATATTTTATAGAATGGGGAAGATTGAAACACAATTATTAAAGAGTGAAATTGAAATCATGTAGAAAACTGTTGAAGCAATTAATTTTGGAACATCACATTGGAAGAAACCGTCAGAAAGCTCACTTTCAGGGGAATTCATGAAAAATTCGAAATTTTCAATCAAATACAAATATATCCTTTTTCATAAATATATTCTTAAATATCAATATTTACCAGAATTTTTTATTATTTGTCTGGAGATTTTTCAGTTCGATGAACGAAAAGCGTTCGATGAACGCTGTATCTTCGATACAGCTGTAATTGAACGTTGATACGTCCATGGTCTTTCCTTCTTTCTCGAATTTCCTAGAAACTCCTTGCATTCCCTCGAATTTTCTGGAAACTCTTTGAATTCTCTCGAATTTTCCAGGAACGTCCTGAATTTCCCAGAAATTTCCAGAAACTCCTTAAATTTATTCGCAGTTCCAAGAAACTTCTCAACTTGCCTCGAAATGTCTAGAATTTTCTAGAACTCCGATAGATGGCGCTGCACATAAGGACCGTTTTCCAAACTGACCCCCCATATTGAAACCATAGACGTATCCACGTCAAAATCCAAAACTTAAATGTGAACGACTACAAATCTTCCATTCGGAAGCAAAACCTCAACCTCAGTGTCCTTTCGCCCCTTTCCCCTCNCCCCCGCCGGTGAATCCTTCCCCAAAAATCCGCTCCCCTCCAAACCCCGCCGTCATCACTCGCCTTTCAAACGTCCCGCCACTGCCGCTCAGTTGGCGCCCCTGCGTCAGATGACCCACTTCGCAGTGCCCCCTCCCCACGCATTGGCGGCTGGCCCCCGGTGTATGTTTGCGTTCCTCAGTGATCACAAACCACCCCGTAAACTCGTCACCATCATAACCATCAATCAGCCACCCTAAAAATAACCCCACCAAACACCTCGCCTCAGGTCGACTCTCGCACTAGCCCTCCACCCCTCGAATCGGTGGCAGGTGATTTCCCCCGTGAAAATCGCGAACCCCAAGCCCCTTCCCCCAGTGCACACAAAAAATGGAAAACCCCGAGGAGGTGCTCCAAGCCCTGGACGAGTTCCAGAAGCTTCGTCCATCCGAGATCCCGCGTGAGCTGGAGGACTACCTGTGTTTCGTGGCCAAAACAGGTGACCCAGTGTACCAGTGGTCCCTGATAAAGCCCCTGTTCCGCGAGAAGCTCGTCCGCGTGATGACTGACTTCTACGAGAGCTGTCCCACATTGGACCTGGCAGCAAGCCCCAACATCGAGCAGTTCAACTACGACAGCATGAAGGGCAATCTCCTGGAGCTCCTGGAGTCCTTTGCCAATGCCCCCTTCACAGTCCAGCGAATCTGCGAGCTCCTGACATCCCCGAGGAAGGAGTACAACCGAGTGGACAAATTCATGCGAGCAATTGAGAAGAACATCCTGGTGGTGTCGACACGCGAGCCAGGGCCAGCAGCACGTCGAAGTGAGAATGGCGACAGCATGATAAACGGTTCAATGGACGACGAGAGTCCAGCAACCCACCACGAGGTGGAGATGGAGTCCTGGGTGAAGGACTGCACAGCAGACGTCCCCGAGGACGAAACAAAATCCCCCAAGACCAGTGAGGAGGCTGTGATACAGGAGAAGCAGGAGACTCGTACAGACGTAAATAACTTCATCACTAGTGAGACATCAACAGGTACATTAAACTCGACTCACCACGAGCCAACGATGTGTAGTAATCCCCAAAATGTGCCTGATGTATCTGGTATTGTTGGAGACGTTCCAGAAGCTATTATGAATGAGGATACTAGCTCTCAGCCCAGTTTGGACTCGGAGAGTGATGACAGTGAGTTGAGTAACTCGAGAAAACTGACGTTTCAGTCTAGGGATTTTGGGAAGAGTGAGAAGGTCGAGGAGAAGGGGGATGACAAGATTTGTGAGGGGGCTGAGAAGCCTGGGGATGCACGTAAAGCTGGGGAGGAGAGTAAGGTAAATTTCAGTGCTCATCGTCAGCCAGACTTGTCCATTGACGATCCAATTGTTGAGAAGCGAGCCAGGCTGGACGATGAGAGCCCAGTGATAGACTCTGTGGCTGTTTCAGAGTCCTCGGAGACGAGGTCAGCGTCTCCAGAGACGAAGGAAGCTTCCGAGCCCCCGGGGGCGTCTGAGGGGGCTGGGGAGGGAGAGAAAAGTGAGGAGATCAAGGAGACAACTGCAGCTGTTGCAGAACCAGAGGCTCCAGGGGAGCCCACTCCTGAACCTGAGCCTCAAGCTGAGCCTGAGGCAGAACGAGAGGACGAGGTCATTGAGACGGACTTCCAGGAGCTTCCAGAGTACCAGGACAAAACCACAGACTCCACAGAGGCAGCTGTTGATCCTAGTAAAAAGGAGGAGAGTCCCAGTGAGGCTGAGCAGGAGGCGAAACCTATTATAGAGGAGCCTCCCCAGGAGGAGCCTGAGGAGAGGGCTGAGGAGACTGGGGGCGTTGTCATCCAGGAAGCCATGGACGATGATGCCAAGGGTGGAAGCACTTTGGTGCCAGACCCCATTCCCATTGTGGAGGAACCGAAGGAGGAGATTCCTGTTGACAGGGCTGAGGAGACCTCGATAGCTGAGATTATCGAAGCCAAAAGCCCTGTCGAGGAGGGCATTGCTGGGGCTAGTGAGACTGTCATCCCCTCGAGTGTCGTCCCCACGAGTAAGGAGAGCCCTCTCGATGTGGAGGAGCTGTGTGAGCAGCAGACACCTGTGGACGAGGTCTCCATTGCTGAGGGGCCTCAGGAGGAGAGCATGGAGAAGGAGCCTGCTGAGTCCATGGAGGTCGACAGTGAGGATGCCACACCTGTTGTACAGCAGGACGAACCCATGGAGGAGGAGTGCGGGGAACAACTGAAGAGTTAATGTACCAAACTGATATTATTCGTGGAAATGTCATTCTCGCTTTTTCGATGACTTAAATTCTCGTTTTCTGGGGGAATTAGTGACTTGGAGGATCTTTCGTTGAAGGAATTTATTGTCTTGTATGTGGGTGAGGTCATTGTCATGATTTGTGTGTTTTTGGGGGGAAGTGGTAGAATTTTAGGGGGGGGGGGGTAATTGGGTTGTTTGATGGGGATTTTGTCGAGTTACGTCAGGTCGTACTGGATTGTTTGATCATCTTGAATATGAGGGTTTTAGGGGGAAATGCTGAGGGACTTCTTTTCGAGGTGAGAAAATTTTCTACGAGAAGTGTTTCTTGCGGTTTTTTGGGGTCATTGATTATTGAGATTTTTTGATTCGCTGTTTGATGAGGAAGTGAAGAGAAGGAGAGTCCACTAATGTTGGTAGTTATTTCCTTCATAAGAAGGGATTTTGGGAAAAGTGAAGATGCTTTTGAGAGAAAAACAAATTTCCAAGAAGAAGGAGATTGTGACATTTCTTGTTGAAATCACTCGTTGAGATGATTGAATATCCACTTCGAAAAATCACATAATCAGGGGGTCTGTAATAAATTTCGTCAACTGTAGGCGGAATTCCATTAAATGGAAAAGTCCATTAATCTTGGTATCTATGTTATTTCCTTCATAAGGAGCAATTTTGAGAAAAAATGTCAAGACATGCTGCTTTTGAATGAAAAGTAAATTTCTAATATGGAGATTTCTACATTTTTCCCCAAAATCACTCATTGAAATATCAAAGAATCTTATGGATAAATTAATTTCAAGCAAACAATATGTCTTTGAGAGATATTGCTTTCGAAGGAAAAATAAATTCCATTTTTTGAGATTTTTTTTTTATTTAACACTCATTGAAATAATTAAATATCGAATCAGAAAAATCACAAAATCAAGTGTTCTATAATGAATTTCGTCAACTGTGGCAGGAATTCAAGGAAAAGTCTATTAATCTTGGCAATTATGTTATTTGCTTCACCAGGAGCGATTTTGAGAAAAAATATCAAGACATGTTACTTTTGAATAAAAAATAAATTCTCAATAAGATTTCGATATTTTCCCTGAAATCACTCATTCAGATGATTGAATATCCAATTAGAAAAATCAAGAGTTCTATAATAAATGTCGTCAACTGTGGATTCATCTCGAAAACTAATGATTCATTTTGTAAAAATGGCAAGAGACCTATTTCGTAGATGAATTACTTCAAACAAACAATATCTCTTCGTGTGCTCTCCTAAACCGCTAATTATTGAGATAATTTTGTACGTAATAAATGAAAGAAAACTGACAGTTCCTCCGATAAAATTTCCCATCACCACGAGAAATTGTCAGTAAAAAATCAATTTTTCTGAAAAATGTCTAATTGTAAATTGACCTCGGAAAAGGATTGATTATAAAAAATGTCATCAGAACTCCCAGTAGCTACTGAAATTCTCCACAAAAAATCAACTCTACATTTCACCACTTCTCCATTGAATCAATTATTTAATTAGTCGTTTTTCTTTTCGATTAGATGTATTGGGAATTATTTCTCTGAACAATGATTAATTTGACAAGCGCTCCAATAACTGAGATAATGAACCACGATGAAATGTAAATTACAAATTGAAGGCAGATGAAGACTTGTGAGGAGGAAACAGTATCCCAATGTACCATGCCAATTTTCTTCATGAACTTCGTAAATGTTCAAACGTTGATACTTATGATAATATATGGATATATCTTTGAATTATTTTGGTACAATTTTTCATACGAGTAATCGAGATATCAATAGACCCCCTCTCCCTTAATTATAATGATAATGTAAATTTGTATTCTGGCGAAACGTAAATATGAACAACACTGCCTACTCGTCATTAAAATGAGAATATTTAACTGATGTGAATGGACAAATGAGTGAATTCAATGAAATTTTTCGATTCATGTCATGGGATTATTCTGGATTTATCAGGGATAATCAATTGGTAATGATTGATGGTTTCATTGTAAAGATAATCAGCCAAATGTGACAGCATTGTTGATTTTTGCAATTTTCTCGAAAACGAGTGGTTTTAGAGAAAAATGTCAGAATACCTTTTTTGTAGCTGAGGAAATTCTCTACAAAAAGTATCTCGAGACATTTTCCCCTAGAACCACTCATCACCGAGATAATTCCATAATTAACAAGACTCAATAGTGATTCTCGTTTCTTTAGGAAATAATCAACTTTTAATTTAATATTTCGTTCATCAATTGACATCGTTGTGCATGGAATAGAGAATCGTCATACGTATGAAAGGGTGTATCGAAAGAATGAGGAAAATGGACATGAGAATAAAATCGCCAACAGCCATTTGTGACGTGGTACACATTCACCCTAGAGTTAAGTTGGAATTGAAGAAAAATACACGAAAATGAAAAGATTGTAGGACTAAAGGTATGAATAATTTAAGATAGCTGTGTATATTATTTTATAGCAAAATATATGCAACTAATTATGATAAAAAAAACACGTATCTCTCATTTCAATGAAATTTCATTTTTAATAATAAACTGTTATACCTCATACCTCATTTATAAACAAAATTTACAATTCTCCAACAACCTTAAATATTCAACATGTCATGAAGGTACTTGAACACTCAACTGAATGTCTGGTGTTTCACTAATCGTTTGAATATGCCATCTTCAATCTGCATCAGCTCGTTGTAGGTTCCAGTCTCTGCGACTTTTCCCTGATCGAGAACTGCAATGTTATCAGCATTTTTTATTGTGCTCAGTCTGTGGGCTATGGTTAGAACTGTTCGCCCTTGTGTCGCACGCTCCAGGGCCTCTTGGACGTAGCTCTCACTCTCTGCATCTAGGGCACTTGTTGCTTCGTCTAATATCAAGATTTTCGGATTCTGGAGAGGAGAACGGAGGGAATACAATTGATTTTATTCAAGCATGGATAATTTCAATAAATTAAACAATATGGAATTGAACATTCATAATACAACTGAATGATCATCAATTAAAGTTATTATTAAAGACGTATCAGAACAGGAAACATTCAATGTTTGTTTTTTCTATTTATGCAGATTATTTTTTTAATATCGAAAGAACATGTAGATTTCCCGAAAAATATCTAGAGATTTTTTTATCGACAAGCATTTCTTACGAAAACAATCTTTTGGAGGTTTTATTCGTTGTATTATTTTTTCTTCACTGCAAAATTGAAGAAAAAAAAACTTGGAAAATTGTAATTGGAAGAGTAATATCCAGATTTTTAGATTCTGAAGAGGAGAAATCAGGAAATACAATTGAATTTATTCAAGCATGGATAATTTCAATGAATGTTTCAATAAATTAAACAACATGGAATTGAACATAATCTAATACAACTGAATGCTTATCAATTAAAGTTATTATTAAAGACGTATAAGGGCAGGAAATTCATGCAGATTATTTTTCAAATATCGAAGAAACATGTAAAATTGCAGGAAAATGTTTAAAGATTTTTTTATGGAGAGAGACATTTCCTACGATAATAATCTCTTGGCAAAAGTCAGTAGATTTCCATTTTTCTATCCGATTTATTCTGGAGGCTTTGTTCGTTGTATTTTTTTTTCTTCACTACAAAATCGAAGAAAAAAACGTCGAAAATTCTAATTAGAAAAGTCTAATATCAAAATCAGAGTATCAACAATTTCCCAGAGTATCGACAAACACTGACTTTCAGAAATTCACACTTTAAAGTGTGTTCTAGAAGGAATTGAATTGTAATTCAACTTAAAATCCCATTCAGTTCACATAGAAATTAGAACATGAGCACGTCATTTATTGTAATATGAAAATTAAACAGCTCATAAATTGGGACATGATTCTCATCGGTCGTATTGCTTTTTCCAATGACAAAGATCACAAACAATAAATTGAAAAAAGGGATATCGAATTCTGACAGGAAAAAGGGCACAATGAAATGGCATCAACTACCAATTTAATTTAGTACTTTAAATTTTTCTACCTTACAATTTCTGAGTGCCTATATACCCACCTTGATAAGAGCTCGTGCAATAGCAACTCGTTGTCTCTGTCCCCCACTCAGTGTGATTCCCCTCTCCCCCACCACAGTATCCAATCCCTTCGTCATCCTCTGAGTGAACTCCAGGACATTAGCCAGCCTGGCAGCCTCCAAAATCTCCTCCTCACTGGCTTCTTCCCTGCCGTAGCTGATATTCTCCCTAATACTCCCCGAGAACAGCACAGGCTCCTGGGAAACGAAGCCAATCTGCCTCTTCACCCAGACGGGGTCCAACTCCCTCAGGTCATGTCCATCCAGCATCACCCGCCCCGAGTTCGGGTCATACAGCCTCAGGAGTAGAAGAGCAATCGTGGATTTCCCAGAGCCCGAAGGCCCCACGATTGCATTGATCGACGAACTCTTCAAATGAAGAGAAAAATCCTTCAGGATCCAACAGCCCTCCCTCGTGGGGTACGTGAAGTCAATGTGACTGAAGGAGATCTCCCCCGAGAGAGGATGATCCAGGATTACTCCACCGGAGATGGGAATTCTGGGCTGACGATCGATGAACTCGAAGAGTCTGGAGCTGGCCCCCAGAGCTCTATTCAATTCAGTGTAGAAATTGGAAATTCCGTTGATGGAAATCCCTGTGTATCCGGCGTACAGCAAAAACGCTGATAGGTTTCCCACGGTTATTGCTGAGTCTGCCAGCATGACTCCTCCGTAGTAGAGGACTGAGAGGATTATCACGTAGCCTGGGAATGTTGATGGGCGTAATTGAATACTTTTCTATTTCAATGATTTGTGATGTAGTTGATACTTTTTTTATATGATTCAAGATATAGTTGAATATTTCTATTTTTTAATTTTTTTCACCTAAGAATTTTAAGGTAATAATAAATTGAAAAAGTCGTTTTGAGAGAAAAATTCAACAAATTGACAAAATAGAATCCCCAAATAAGCTCATTTATTTATGCTTGTGGAGTTGTGGGCATATTATGTATCTGTGAACCAAAATTGGAGTCAATCGATTGAGAATTGCGTAGTGAGGACACTTTTGAAGATTTCGTCGATAGAAAAACTCTAAACTGAATTTTTAGCTATTTTTGCTTCCGAATCGAAGCATTCTATTCGTCAAATTCAAGATTTTCAGTTTTTTGGATCAAGATAAACAATTTTGGCTTCAGGAGGTCGAATATGCAATTTTTAGACCATCGTTTGACCGACTATTTTCCGACGATAAGGAAAAAAATAATTGTTTAAATCAATCCAAAATTGGATTGAACAATTTTGAAACAATTTTGTGATTTAAAATATTCTTCCCAATGCCATCTTAACTGAGTTTGATCATCAGGGAAAGGTAAAAAATATTAACGTTGGGGCAATGTTAAATTCACTGAATCATTTGATTCAATTTAAAATACATCGTCATAGAAATTTCATTCGGAAGAAAATTGCTAATTTACTAGCAAAAATATATTGACTGTCTTGTGACGAAAGGGAACGAAAGGGAATAAATCTTAAAAACCAAATCGTAAAAAATTAGAGAAATAAAAAACTTTGAAAAGAATAATAATGATGACATGGTAGCAATCCTGTACCTGAGCAACAAGATATTTGTGGATGAATTCTATTTTATGAGAAATATTTTTTGGAAAAATCTAGAACTTCTCAAAAAAAATTATTAAAAATTCTCAAATTTTTAATAAATTTTAAGAATATTCTGGGGTGTCTAGAAAATTCTCGATTATTCTGGGTTTTTTTGAATACTTTAAAGAAATTGGAAAAATAAAAAACCATTTCCATTATCCTCACCGTCGTCATCAATAAATTTGGAAAAATTTTGAAGTCTTCTCGAAAATTTCTCAAAAATTTCGAATTATTGAGGAAATTGGTCGGTATTTTTTAGAGAATTCCAAGGAAGAATTGAATGTAAGGAAAAGGAATTCTTGGAGCAACGCTGTTAGGAATTACAAATAAAATATAAATTATAATACCTGAAAAGCCAGTGAGTCCGAAGAAGACTCCTCTGTACCAGCTCTCGGAGTAACAGAGGGACAGCAAGTCCTCGAGTTTCTTACTGTATCTTGTGATTTCTGTGGACTCTTGGGCGAAGGCCTTCACCGTTCTGATGTTGCTGATGCGCTCCTCGGCTGTGGTGTTGAGGACAGCCAGGCTGTTCTGGACTTCTTTTGAGATTTTTTTGATGAAGCGACCGTAGACTATCGCCAGGCCCACGATCGGGGGGACCATTGCCAGACCCACGAAGGCAAGCTGGGGGGAGACGTAGAACATCATGGAGACTCCCGCTGCTGTCATTATTGAGGAGCGGAGACCGTCTGAGATGTTGCTGGTCACTGCTGAGGAGACTAATTGTGCGTCACCTGGGAATCAAGGGTGAGTGGTGAATATTCGGGGGGAAGAGGTTGAGAGGACTTTTAGGGAGTGAAAAAGGCTCTTGATGGGTTCGGTGACGACACCATGATATGAAGATGAGTTTTTTATCAGATGAATTGGACTTTGAAGGTATGTAAATTCGTTGGAATTCATTTTTTGAATATTATTTTGAATACTGTTTGAATATTGTTTTCTCATAAATCAATAATGGTAATTGTTTGGGGTCTCAGAAGCCTTTGTTTAAATAACTAATGAATTTTTGTGAGGGTAAAAGAGGGCTTATGATGGTTTTGGTGAAGCTACAGGTTTGAAACATGTGCACGGGATGATGTCGACACTTTAATAACAGACAAGTGTATCTGCATGGGAAATTTATAGAACTTAACGTTCGAAAAATATGTGCAGGATGATATGAAGATTAATTTTTTATTATATATAAAAGTATTATTATTATATATCAATGTAAAAGTAAAATTTTTATTATATTTTATTAATATAAAAATTGATGAATTGGACTTTGAAGATATGCAAATTCATTGAATTCATTTTTTCAACAAATCAGTCCTTTTTTGAATATTGTTTTCTTATAAATCAATATAATGGAAATTGTTTCGACCCCCAGAAGCCTAATTTATTTGAAATGATTAATAAATTTAACATAATATTAGCTCTTCGACACCTGAGAATCGGGGGGAAGGGGTTTAAGAGACTTTTTGGGGCTAAAAAAGGGCTCTTGACAGTTCTGGTAACTCCAAAACCCCAAAACAATAAATAATAATATTAATTTAATTGCAAAATTATCCCAAAACAATAAATTCACTCCACAACAACTCTTCGGCTTTAAAAAATAATGAGAAATACCTGTCAACCGTCCCACAAGTTCTCCAGTGCTGACCTTATCGAACATGGCAGTTTCCTGGCTTAAAATCGCCGAATAGGCCTTCTTCCTCAGGGCCTGAGTGATCCTGTGCCCCGAAGTGCTCATGAAATAAATCCTCCCAAAATTGCAGATGCCCCCAACAATGAAGACAGTCAACAGCCCCAGACTCAACTTGTTCAGGTTCTCCCTGGTCTCCTCCTTGTCCTCAGTATAAATGACATCAATGACCTTCCCCAGGCAGAATGGCATGGCCATAGTAACAGTCGAGGAGACGAATAAGAGGCAAATTGCCCCAGTCAGCTTCCACTTCTCTGGTTTCGCCAGGGAGAATAGTCTCTTCAGCTCGGACTTCTTCTGGGCCTTGTCCACAACATTACCCCCTTTCACCGCCTCAATCGTCCTGAACCTCAGCCCCGTCAGGAAGCTCTTGGCCCTCAGAACCCCAGGGCTCGACCGATTCCCACATCTCCAAGAGTGAAAGACACATTTTCGAGTTATTGTTAATCTCGTGGGGTTAAAAATGCCCCCAGATGTCATCAATTTCACCAGCATCGTCATGTTCTCCTCCTTCTTCGCAATTTCTTCATAGAATTCTCATCGATTTTCCACTCGTCATGTAGCGAAAACCCTCGTGTCACGAAGGAATCAGAGAACAATTAAAAATGTATCAGCATTACCTCCATTTTTTTTTGTTTTTATTTTCATTTGGAGTGGGCTCACGTGGTTTTGGGCGAAGTCGTCGATGATTTTTGGATTATGATATTTTTTTATTGACGACTGTCATTATGGGGGTAAATTTAAGAGAGTTTAGTTGGAGAGTGTTAGGTAATTTCTTTTTGGTGAATAGGTTAGGGAGTGCTCACGACACACACTGTGCCAGAATTGCGTACCTGCTATGTTGAGTACCGTAACTGAACAGCTGATTTTTGGAGCCAATGACATGCAGCAGGTTGTGGGTATGTAAATAGAGATTTTGAATGCAGTGATGCTTGTTGTTTATTTTTGTATTGTTCAAGTGACAATTTCATAGTCGATTTCTCAAGATTGAAAGAATTTTTAATTCTTTTATTAACTTAAGGTAATTGAACATTTATTGTTGGATCACTTTAGATTTAGACAGCTTGAAACGAGGAATAAAATTTAACTCCGAGTGCAATATTAATATCATTGTAACAACTTTAAAAGTTGAAACAATAAAATTAGTGCAAAATGTGATTGAAGTCCCTATTGATTGAGCTCTGATGATTAACTGCAAATTTTGAAAAGGATTTCAACGAAAATATAAATAGGCAAAGACTTATACATTCTCTTCTTTTTTATGTGATGAAAATTAATCTGGAGTATACTTCATAATCTCCTACAATAATGGATTCACAGAAAAATGTCAAAAGACAATTTTTGTAGAGAATTTCATGGGCTACAATAAAAGGTGCTATGATATTTTCATTTAAATCTATTAGTTCTGGAGATATCTACGAAATTAAGAGTTCAAAATTTGTAATTTCATGAAAATGAATCCTTTAACATAAAAAAATGTCTCTGAAACTAAAGAAAGGCGAATAACATAAAACATATTGACTATGTTAAAATAGAGTTTGAATGCAGTGATGAAAATTCATGTTTGTTATTTATTTTTGCTTTGTTGAAGTGACAATTTCATCGTCGATTTCTCAAGATTGAAAGAATTTTTAATTCTTTTATTTATCGTTGGATCACTTTAGATTTAGACAGCTTGAAACGAGGAATAAAATTTAACTCCGAGTGCAATATTAATATCATTGTAACAACTTTAAAAGTTGAAACAATAAAATTAGTGCAAAATGTGATTGAAGTCCCTATTGATTGATCTCTGATGATTAACTGCAAATTTTGAAAAGGATTTCAACGAAAATATAAATAGGCAAAGGACTTGTACATTCTCCTCTTTTTTATGTGATGAAAATTAATCTGGAGTGTACTTCATAATCTCCTACAATAGTGGATTCACAGAAAAATGTCAAAAGACAATTTTTGTAGAGAATTTCATGGGCTACAATAAAAGGTGCTATGATATTTTCATTTAAATCTATTAGTTCTGGAGATATCTACGAAATTAAGAGTTCAAAATTTGTAATTTCATGAAAATGAATCCTTTAACATAAAAAAATGTCTCTGAAACTAAAGAAAGGCGAATAACATAAAACATATTGACTATGTTAAAATAGAGTTTGAATGCAGTGATGAAAATTCATGTTTGTTATTTATTTTTGCTTTGTTGAAGTGACAATTTCATCGTCGATTTCTCAAGATTGAAAGAATTTTTAATTCTTTTATTTATCGTTGGATCACTTTAGATTTAGACAGCTTGAAACGAGGAATAAAATTTAACTCCGAGTGCAATATTAATATCATTGTAACAACTTTAAAAGTTGAAACAATAAAATTAGTGCAAAATGTGATTGAAGTCCCTATTGATTGATCTCTGATGATTAACTGCAAATTTTGAAAAGGATTTCAACGAAAATATAAATAGGCAAAGGACTTGTACATTCTCCTCTTTTTTATGTGATGAAAATTAATCTGGAGTGTACTTCATAATCTTCTACAATAGTGGATTCACAGAAAAATGTCAAAAGACAATTTTTGTAGAGAATTTCATGGGCTACAATAAAAGGTGCTATGATATTTTCATTTAAATCTATTAGTTCTGGAGATATCTACGAAATTAAGAGTTCAAAATTTGTAATTTCATGAAAATGAATCCTTTAACATAAAAAAATGTCTCTGAAACTAAAGAAAGGCGAATAACATAAAACATATTGACTATGTTAAAATAGAGTTTGAATGCAGTGATGAAAATTCATGTTTGTTATTTATTTTTGCTTTGTTGAAGTGACAATTTCATCGTCGATTTCTCAAGATTGAAAGAAGGCAATTGAACATTTATCGTTGAATCACTTGAGATTCAAGAAATAGTTTTTAACAGTTTTAAATGACGAATTAAATTTAACTCTGAGTGCAATATTGAAGGAAGGTAGGTAATTCAACATTCATCATTCGACATATAAACAAAAATGTTTCCTGACAGCTCGAAATATTGAATAAAACTAAAATTTCCAAAGTTTGAAGAATAAAATCATCGCAAAATGCAATAGAATAAAACCTTTGATGTTCAACTACAAGCGTTGGAAAGGATTTCAATGAAAAAATAAATGAGCAAGAGTTCATTCTCTTCAAATTCTGCAAATGAGTAGATTCGTCGTCAAATATCTCTGAAACTAATAGTTTTATTACATTAAAGAACATGAAACATGTTGAAAATTAATATTTCTCGTTTATTTTACCCCATCAAATGTGATTGAACGAAGATAATGGAACATCAATTAATTCACAATTTTTTCACGTCACTTTAAATAGCAGATTTGAAGTTCTCGTACACGAAAATTAATCGTTGATTCACAATCTTTTTAACAGAATGAGAGAAGATAAAATTTCATTAACGGGTTTAATTCATTGATCCACGGGAATGGAGGTTATCGTGATGTTAAACCACAATTGGGAGTATTCGGGCAGTAGATTATCTGGATGCACGTAATAGGACTCAGTTGGGAGGAGATTGGCTGACGGGAGGTCTGGATCACTCCTCCATGTCCAGGTCCCCCAGTTCTTCCTCCAAGCCCTCAAGGTCGTCCTCGGTGAAGAGGTTCTCGTTTATTGCCAGGGCTGCTGCACCCTCTCCTACTACAGTCACTGCAAATAAAATTTTTCAATTATCACTCATTGAATTATTATCAATTATTCATCAGGGATGAGGCAAAATGGAGATTGACAATTCAATGAGTCATTCAGGCATTTTGGTCTACTAGCCTTTGTATAAATTAAAGTTTCTTGATATTTTCTCTTGACTCTGAAACGAATGGGGCACTTGCATGATTTTAAAAAAATTCAACCTCAAGTTGTGGAGCTACATAAATGATTTTATTTTTTTTGCAACAGAAGTTTGAACCACAGGTCGTTAATGAATAATTAATTAGCAAAAGTGTAACATTTTTTGCCAAATCCATAAGTAGACAAGGCATTCATACATGCATTATTTTTATATTTTGCATTATTTTGAGATTTCAAAGATCTTAACTTGAGACTTTCGAAAGGATCAACTAGAGATTTTCAAGTCTCAATTCAAGACTTGAGAATCTAAATTTTATATATGAGTCTCTCTGTCCACAAATGTCATATGTTACAGCCGACTTTTCTAAATTTTTCATCTCAACGTCTCCATAACTCATCTTATCATTCACACTTTGATTTACATATTTTAGATTTATTCTTGCAACTGGTATACTGTAAATATTTAATCCATTCTTCTGATCCCATAATTGGCCTCTGGGCTATTGGGTCTGTATACAGCAATAAATAAATAAATAAATAAATAAATAAATGAAAGTTTAGGCTTCTGAAAGATTTCCGAAAGTCTCAATTTAAGACTTCCATCAATCTCAATTTGATATCGTAAGTCTCAAATTGAAATTTATTTTTCTTAGGTATAAAATAAAATCTTTGCAACTTAAAAGAAAATGAGTAAAAATTACCAGAAGCATCTCCATTAACTTCAGGCCCCTTGGACCCCTTGAGTCTGTCCTCCTGAGCAATAGTGATCCCCGTGGTGTCCAATTCACTGGCCTCCATAGCCAGTCTCTCCATATCCAGCTCGCGATACTCAATCTTCTCTCCCTCCTCATCGTCCTCATGGAACTGATAACTGTCAATGGCCTCATCCCCATCGTCGATTCCATCCCCAGCCGCCAGTTCAGGGTTGAACGAGAACATCTCACGTCCGGATATACCCACCTGCCGTCCAGCTTTGTAATCACTCCTCTTTTTCTCCTCGTCCTTGATCGCCTTCTCCTTTTTCTCGGTTAGTTTACGTTTTTTCCAGGCTAAGAACGTCTCCAGGGTTATTCTCGTCTGGTTGGGGCCGAGATTGGTTCTTTCTTTCTCGATCAAATCCTCCAGGGAAATCTCGTCCTTCTTGTCGGCTTGTTTCTTGTCTTTCTTGAGGACGAAACCCGGGGGAAGGGCATGACGGTATATGCATTTTTGACCTGAGGGACATTCCCAGAACCAACCGTATTTGGATTGTTCTACAGCTGCTAGGAAGTGCTTACAGATCTGAAAAGGAGTAATGATGGCAAATTAATTGTTCCATATCATGTCCACTTGCCTCATGGAATATCAGCGAGAAGGTCAATTTAATTCCTCAACTTAATTCTCTTAAGGGGAAATATTCAAATATTTTTCTATAATTTATCAAAACATGAAGAAAAATTCCTACAATAAATTATCATATTTTGAGGGGGTAAACGAACAATAAACAATCAATTTTTTTGCACTAATTTTTCGTATTTAGACATATGTAATCGATCTTCAATGCATGAGAAATCTCATATTAGTTTCTCCTTAAAGTGATTGCTAATTACTAAAGTAGTAAATCATTCTTGAAATTAGTTCTGTGATTTTAAACGTGAAACTCTGATAATTTATTGTAGGAAATTTTTTAATGTGTTGATAAATTGTAGGAAAATGTGAGAAATGTTTCAACAGATCTTGGAAATGATTGGATTTTTTTTTAATGAATTGATGATGAAACTTACGATATCAGTTGTGGGTCGATTTCCACCGCTTCCATGCTTCTTCTCCACGACCTCAGCCAACTTCTCCTCATCCCACTTATCCATAGTGTCAGCTTCCTTGTCGTCATCTCGCATATCACAATAGAGAGAACGTTTCTCAGCTTTTCGTTCGATCGTTAGATCGTGGGAGAATTTGCACTTGTCGCCTTTGGAACACTGGCCCTGTTTGAAGAAGGCGCATACCACTGACTTTGGATCAGTACCTATAGTACAACAAACAGAAACCATTTGAAATTATCAAAGTTATCTTTTGTAATGAGGCAGTTATTTCAGGAGTGAATGATTTTTAAAAAAATGAATGTTAAGAGTTTTTAACCTAAAGTCGATCATTACTAGGACTGATTTAGATTAAAATATCTCAGTAATAAGACATTTTAGAGCACAATTTCACTGCATAAAATTCTTCTGACATTTTCTCAAAAACAATGATTTGTTTTTTAAATAAATTACAATCCAAAAAATGCTTCATTTACACATTTAATTATCTGATCTTTGTGAAATATTTTAGGATAACATGTGAAGAGAAATTTTCTGTGAACAAGGAATTTTCTACAAAAATGTCTCATTACCTATTTCACTGTTGAACTTATTGGTTGACATTCAGATGAGGAAATAATCAGTAAAATCAGAAATTTCATGATTTTTTTTCTTTCTAAATCGAATGAAAATTAAATTTTAAAAAATAGAGTTATAATCAAATTCAGTTGATTAATTAAATTTTAATAAAATTAAAAATATTCTATTTTTTCTAAAGCATTTCTAGAACAAATCTGCAATTATAATATATGTCACCACTCATTTTTCAAATCATGAATTATCTTCGAATAATCACCTTTTTCAACTTTCTGGCTTTGAACTGGTTTGAAAAGCAGTGCCAGTTCCTTCGCCTCCTGCAGCTTCTTCTCCTTCTCAAGTTTCTTATTAAGAGGATCATCTCCCTTCCGTGGAGCCCCAGGCTTCACCTGTTTTTCCACTTGCTGAATGAACTTCTGCTGTTTCGCTCCTTTTTTATTCTTCAGACCGAAGGTTTTATCCTGAAAATTGATGAATTAACGTCAGTGCAACGTCATATATGTCATCAATATTGGAATGTTCGTTAGGCACATGTGCACGGAATAATTCCACAGCGATCGTCATACCTCGATAACCTTCTCCTTCTTCTTGATCTCCGTCTTCTTGCTCGGCGCGGGTGCCTTCTTCGGTGGCATCTTGATGCTGTTTCTCCTCCAGAAATTGATAAATTAATCGACTCAATTGGGATAACCTTTCTCAGCTAGAGAACGAAAAACCATTTCTCGTAACTTCAATTTCTGCAATTGAGACTGGAAATTTGTAAAAGTGAAGTCTTCCGCCATCTGACGTTGGAATTCTGGGAGGAGAGACGGTCCCTGCTGAGTGATGGCGGTAGTTGTTGCGTCCGACTCAATCTTTTGGAGATGTAAACGAATGGTTGGGATCCAGAATATTCAACAATATGATTGTGTAATAATTGGGTATCCGCTTCGTGTTACAACACGAAAACATTGTTTAATACGAAACGAGACTAGTGCGCCGTGATTTTTCGTAAAACAAGAACGCGTCGGACTCCTCAGGTGATTACTGATAATATTCATTATTGGGTTCAATTTTATACGGATTTTCGCAACTCTTATTGAATGCCGGTAGGCGTTGCGATTGGCATTCTATTCAACGGTTAACTTACTCTTCGTATTGGAATAAATCGTTAGAACTTAAGTTAGACTAGTCGATTTCATGGAGAATATTTGGACCATAAATGAATAGGAAATGGAAATACAAAAGAGAAACAAAGTCAGATAAACCAAGAACTTGATATTATTAGGGTCAAAATTTTGAAAATTTTACGTTAAAGACAGGAATTTTCAGCGAATTTTCGTGTTTTCAAAAGATTTTAATAATTTATTGGTGTAAGTCTGGGCCAAAAAAATTTTTTTTTTCGACATATTTGAAAGTAGGGGAGGGTACGGCAAAATGGACGAGGGGGGCAAAACGGACCCCTAGGGCAAAACGGACTACTGACAGAAAATTGATAATTTTTGTTTTTAAAAATTTAAAGTCATTTGTGGTTTGAGGTGATTATCAAATCTTATCAAATTGCGGTTCAACGACACTTGTCTATGAAACCTCTGTGACGGTTACGATCCAAGAAACTCACTTTTAATTCAACATTCAGTGTTTTTAATTTGAAGGAAAGAAAAACAACTTGATATCTCGATTTTTACGAAAGTGAGAGAGCGTGCAAGGATTTTAAACAAAAAATGGAAAAATGCAAATATCTCAAAAACTTTGTATAAACGGGCATACATATCCTGATTGATTGAGATAGCAGACATCGAGACGAACATTTTGAAAAGAAAAATATTGAAATCGGTCGCATAGTTTTTGAGATATTCACGATAAACCAAACAAAAACAAATTGCTTTTTCTCAAAAACTAATGAACTGATCGGACTGACATTTTACAGAGAGGTAGTCCAATTCAATACCAAATATCTGACAAAATTTCAAATTTTTTGGAAGTGTTTTAGCCGTTTATTCATTTAATTTACGACAAAGTAATCACCCGATGACCATTTACACACACACGGGGTGTTCAAACTTCGTATTTTTTCGTTTCAGAAAACTCTACATCATTTCCAAGCAAAATTTAAAAAAGTAAAAATTTAACGATTGCAAGGCTTCCATTCGGAAGCAAAAAACAAAAATTACCAATTTTTTGTCAGTGGTCCGTTTTGCCCTCCCGGTCCGTTTTGCCCTACCCTCTCCTAAGAATACAAATTTTTATGAATTTATCAGCCACGAAGTTTTTACGTGAAAAGAAAAAATTGAAAAACTATGGGGTTTCCCTTATTGTATGACGACTTGAGTGTCAATTTCTTACATATGGACCGCTAATTGAAATTTCGGTGAAAATTGATAAAAATTTTCCCCGAAAGCGATAAATTATCAACAGTGCACAGGAATAAGACAATCGACGTCATGATGCATTTTTCAAAAAACTCTGTTTAATCATTCAAGTAGTCGACGTTTACATATGTAGTAATGATTTCATATCTCAATTGGATTTATCCTTCACGTGTTCGTAAATCTACCCAGCACTCTCCCCACGCCATTGCACTCCTCCACATCTCTCTATTCCACATGTTCCTAAGGTACTTACAGTGTAAATGTCATTAATGTTTTTTTCATTCTCATTAAATCGCTACGTAATTAGCTGCACCTTGGGCCTATTGTATGTACAACAGATAGTAAAAACGTCGATCAACGATTCGCTCGTTTTATTATCTCACCTCATCGTTATTCATATTCTGTATATTTATTTCAAATAATTTTAATAACAAAAACAACTTTTACTCGTGCCTCGTAATTGATAGACTGTGTTTGTGTATTTTAGGTAAATAAAAATTAATGAATCAGTAATGCCGCGCGTGACTTCGAAGTCGATGATTGTTTAGTCATTGAATTATCATTCGATTTGATTAATTAATGAGTCACAGACAGGGAAATTACCAACTGAAATTATCGGCTCAGGCTGCAGAAGGGCTTTGCAGACCAGAAGTCGTATTTTTTTTCACTTTTTCCACTCACATATCATTTTTGTGTCATTCTTTCGTCATAAACTCACGCGCATTCATCTACTTCTCGCATTCTCTCATCTCCATCATCCCAGCACTCTCTTTTTAATATCACAAGTTCAATGTACCCGATTCCAGTGATTCACTGACGCTCAGCAATTTTTTCATAGTTCACTCCATGCGACGTTTTCTTGTTATGTGTCTCTGTGTGCATGTTTTTTTAATTTATTTTTTATTTATTCTTTTTTGTTTCAATATAAGGCTCCCACGGCAGTCTCACGAAGTAGCATCAGTTCTTGTATCAACAATGAAGGGAGAATGTGGTCGTTCAGGAAAATTAAGAACAAGAGAATCAACTTCTCAGCTTTTAGCGATTTGTTTCGACTATTTTGGAAATATTTTAGGAATTGATGGATTTTCCCTGCAAAGAAAATTATCGAAATGATTACATAATGTCAGAGTTGTCCGTTTCAAAGTAACAATTTTGGAAAGGTGATTTGTGGAATTGATGATTCTAGGAGAAAGGAAGTCAGAAGACCTTTTTGCAGCTGAATATTTTCATATGCAAAAGGTCCTACGAGGTTTTCCTTTCGTAGAATCACTTCTTATCGAGATCACAAGACTTCGAGATACCTGACTGGTTCTGAAATCAAGAATCCTAGGGTTTTTTTATTTTATTTAACCCTAGGGTTAATTCTTGACTTGACATGTTGTCTCCTCAAATTATCTTTATTAATTATAGCGTAGTCGCACAATTTAGACAATACCCTCCCCGCTACGTAATGTTCAAATGCCCCAACAGGTCTTATGATGCTGGACATCAGAAACTTTTTCATCACTTGTGCGTCAAGTAAAATTTTACAAAATTCTACTTTGCACACATCGTGATAAAAAACAGGATTCGACACTCGCGACTTACACGAACTGAAAATTCCCGTCATTCACTCACTCATATCGACATATACTAATTTCATAAATGAATTTCATAAATTCCGAAAACTTGATTTCAAACTAACATTTTGAATTATTATCTAACAATCCAAAAATACTGTCCCCTAAAAAACCGCCATACACTGATAGAATGATTCATTTATTCCAAACGAGATTCGTTAACTATTAACGAATGGTCGAGTTGAATATGACCAAGTGAATATTCGTTAATAGTTAACGAATGGTTCACGTGAATGGCGAAAGTCAAATCAAACAAGGCTCCTCAAATATACATTCGTTAACTATTAACGAATGAACATTTGGTGGGACCGAATAGACCCTAACCTCCAACCAAAATCCATTCGTTAACAATAACTAATCCGTTCAATCAGTGTAAAAACCAACTCATGAAGCATGAAATGTCCTCGCATGCTCTCGCATTCCCAAAATAATCTAAAACATCCTATTGAGCTGAGTTTCTATGTCTTCACTTCGCAATAATCCTTCCGACCACATTCTGAATTTTAATAATCATCTACGCAACTACTTTAATAATATACAAGCCAATCACTAAGGATTACATCAATGAATCGAAGTTCTTAACGCGTCACTCAGCGAGACGTCTGGATTGTGCCATAAAGCTCTTGTTAACGCCCTGTAAGAATAGGATTGGGCTTCACATTAAATGTTACATGAAACAACTATTCATCATTTTTTTTTCATCATACGTATTTTATTTCATTGCTTAATCGCGCGGGCGGGAGAACAAGCGCGCGCGTGACGCAACAAAAAATTAAATCGAACGAGAGTCAATTGTTGTTTATTCATGAAAAAATGATTTCAGTATCCAAAAGCTCGTCACAAGCGAATGAATGAGTTCTCGTTCTCGCGGGCGAAGGAGAGATATTTTTCATGCTCTTAGCTGTAAGTTCATCCTGTATTACATCGTTAGATTATCTTTATTACCTCAATCGTTATTTCTTCTAGTTTCGTCTTCATTTATTCACTAATGAATCGCACGTGCACAGAACAGCGAAATCATTCCCTTTTCTTTCATTCTCTCTTCTGCTTCCAATGAAAGATTGACGACAGATGAGTATATTCGTATATTATGTGTATTAACAAACAACGTAAAAATATTTTTCTCGTTTTGCGAGAGTACAGTAGAAACTCCGCGCATTCTAAGAAGAGTTGCAACGGATTATCGTCACTTTTGCGCTTCATCCACTCTTCAGCTTTGAGTTAATTGTAACTTTATTACTTTTCTCATTTTTTTATTTACTTCTAAATTTATGTTATCAGTCCGAGAAGTGGCTGCGAAGGCCGTGAAAAATTTCCTGAGTCAATGGAACGTTTCACTTGTTCGTAATTTTATTTATGAATCAGAACGTGTGGCGAAGGAGCAAATTGTGAGGTCAAATTTCTGTTGAGGGAAATGGCAAGTGATTTTTTTGGTTCGGAATTTCGTATAATACATTGCACAAAACCTTTTTTAATCGAACTTTTAACGAAAGGCTTCATTTCCAATTGAGTTTCTGCGCTTCACCACTTCCTCACTCGTTCGGATATTTTATTTTTCCCTTTTTCCTCTCATGATGAGGCTTTTTCGGCCTCAGGTGACGCGTTCGAGCGAATGAAACGTCCAGCGACTTCACAATAGTAGAGGGGAAATACGATGAAAGCCGGACGCGTTATCATTAATTTGTTTCTCATTACGCAGGGCGGTAATGAGGGGACAGTCAAAAGGAGGTGGAAAGGCTTTGTGTAGTTGTTTTAGTTTATTTGTTGTGGCTAGGGA